TCTACCTTGTCCCTGTTCGCTGTTGGATCTTTCGGTCTGAACTCTATCGATTGCCGCGTGACCGTTTGGTATTCTAGCCACAATTTAGAAATATTCTCAATAAACCGTAGGATGAATTCCCTTTAAGGGTTTTTCTACGAATGCTTTCTTCTTGATGGTAATTCAATACGACTGAAGATATCTGGCTGTGATAATCCCTTTCCTATGACTGCAATTCACCCATGATATTTAATAGTGAGAAGAGGTCGACATAGAACTTTGCACATATGTGCACCAGTTCAAGTCGCCACACTCCCTCCATGTACCACACAAAACAAGAGAAGAAAGTGGGAGAAATGCATATTAGAGACAGTAACAGGGGTATGAGACAAAGGTATGGTAATAACGAAGAACAAAACAGTTTAATTGGAAATCATAAGTCACAAGGAGTGGATGCATCTGCACCAGCCACTGAGAACGATTTTGAGCCATGTCACCAATTGTTTCCAACCATTGGTTTTTACTGTCGCGAGGACCCCAACCAGGAAGTCTACACCTTCCTACGTGGCTTAAACTAACTGTTGTAGATTTCATTGACTGATGCCATGTTTTCGTTTGACCGCCGCTAGCTCTTTTTCAGCCTGACCAATCCTATGCCAGCTAACATTGCCCATTGTCGAGGAAGGCGATGACTAGGCATACGTAGCACGTGTCCTAACCATTTCAGTCGATGTAATTTCACAGTCTCGTCTATTGATTTCCCCGCCTTACCCAGCACTCAACGCCTAACCTCAATATTGCTAGGCGTCGAGTGCTAGTGAGAAGAGATTTGTAAGGAACGTTTAATTCGGCTGGGTTTTGATGTTTCCTCCCCAGCAGCTTATCAATAATCAGTTCAGAAAATGAAGGTGAACTGTCTAGCTCCACCCATATTCCATGTGTACTTCAAATTAGTTGACCTACTCAAGTAATGAAACTGTATTTAAAATGAGTTGAAGATTAGGCCGATTCATCGTTAAAGACTAAAAACATTCTTGTCAAGCAGAGAACAGAATTCAAGCTGTATGTAGTTCTGTGCAGTATCTCAGACCATCGATACAGGATATAATGGTTGAATTTTGAGAAACGTTTCACATTCTGTACTGGTATGACTTCAACATAAAACAAAAGCGTCCGGAATTCACCTTCATAAGTCAAATCTGGAAATCCTGTTAGTTTTCCCCTAAGGATATTTGTCAATACAAAATCATAATTGGGTATGTGTTAACCTTGGTGAAGAGTGCTCAAATTATTCTTGTGAGTTTAGATCAAACATGTTAAAAAAACTTGTTAATTAGTCGAATATATATACCGGGTTGTCAGAAGTTGGAATTCATAGACCACGGAGTGTTGCCGTGTAATCGGAAGGTATTGGGGATTCCTAACCCTGTGGTCGCGTTCTGTTGAAGACTCCCAGATGATTTTCCAATGCTTCTCTAACTGATATCAACTTGTCGTCATCATCAAACCTGTAGTGAATCAACTATGCATCAATATTACAGACAGATAATATGCCCACGAGACTCAGGGATTGACTTGCTACCAGAGAATAATCTCGTTGACTTAGAATATGCAGATGATATAGTCCTCCTAGGCGAGGACGCTGACAAAATGCAGAGTCTTCTGAACACCTTGAGCAGCAATCTTCGTATGTTTGGCATGCGATTAGCCCCTGTAAAATGTAAGATGATGTTGCAGGATTGGACTACACCGACCCCTAGATTAGAAATACGAAGTGAAGTGGTAGAGCACGTTGACCGCTTCACTTATTTGGGAAGTACCATCAGCCAACGCCAACGGGTTGATCTCCGACGAAATCTCAGCACGAATACAGAGGGCTAGTTTCGCATATGCCAATTTACACCGTCTCTGGCGTAGACGTGATATTCGGCTGGATATCGACCAAAGGGTGGGTGTACTGCTCAACAGTCCGCTCCGTCCTCCTTTATGGCTGTGAGACCTGGCCATTGAGAGTGGAAGACATGAAAAGATTAGCTGTGTTCGATCATAGGTGTCTGCGTTCTATCTCCCGTGTGAAGTGGCATAATAAAATGATCATTACTGATGTTAGGCGTCGACTGCTAAGTAAGGAGGGGAAATCAATCGACGAGACTGTGAAATTACATCGACTGAGATGGTTAGGACATGTGCTACGTATGCTCAGTCATCGCCTTCCTCGACAATGGGCAATGTTAGCTGACATAAGGTCAGACTGGAAAAAAAAGCTAGCGGCGGTCAAACCAAAACACGGCTTTACCAGTCAATGAAATCTACAACAGTTAGTTTAAGCCAGCCACGTAGGAAGGTGTAGACTTCCTGACTGGTTGGGGTCCTCGGGACGGTAAAAACCAATGGTTGGAAACAATTGGTGACATGGCTCAAAATCGTTCTCCGTGATGGCTGGCGCAGATGCATCCACTCCTTGTGACTTATGATTCCCAATGAAAGCATATTGTTCTTCGTTATTACTATTCCTTTGTCTCACACCTCTGTTTACTGTTTCTATTATGCATTTCTCCTACTTTCTTCTCTTGCTTTGTGTGGTACATGGAGTGTGACGACTTGAACTTCCGCACATATGTGCAAAGTTCTATGTCGAAAACTGACCAACCAACCGACCCGCGTGTGTGTGCAGTGCAGTTCATTGGTGGTTCAATAGTATAGCATTCACCAACCACGCCATATATTGTCCGGGATTCGATTCTTAGCTGACGCAGTCTTTAATTTCACTTAGCCTACCAACCAGTAGTAGGAAGAGTGAAGAGAGAATGTTGACCCCGCGGCTAGCAACCCAACTACATATAGGGAAACATCCTTCATAGATGCCCAAACTTCAAGCCATATGTTCCACTCAGAATGCAAACGAATAAAATGCGTTTGTGTGTATACATATATGAGTGAAATAACTTGATACCACTTTGTGTATTCTATATATATATATAGATCACAGTTGTATTGACGCATAAAATGACAGGTGCAAGTTGAACTAAAATGATGAAGTAATAAGCAGAATAGACAACGATGACGACAACAACAACAGAAACGACAGACAAATCGAGAGAAGAACAGAAAAAGGATAAAGACCTATTTAAAGTAATCTGATATCGTGTATTGTGTAGTGTTCAATGTTATAGAGTACCGTTATCACACACTGTATGATAGTGAAATGTGGATCAAATGTGAGCCGATGCCTTTCCGCACACACACACACACACACACACACACACACACACACACAATAGAATGAAATGCACAAGCCGGACGAAAGGGTTGAAAAAACCCCCAAAAAACCACAAATCACAGTGGCAGTTGAGAAAAGATCACAAATCAAGATCAAAAACAAACAAACAAAAAAGCACGATCAATAAATAAATAAATAAATAAGTGAATAAATGCCAAGTAACAGGAAAGCATAAAAGCATGAAAACAAAGCATATTTATATATATATTAATTTCTGTATATTGCACAACAATGAATAAGAGAGGTGGATAGTGTGGCGAGTGAGTAGGGCGAGGGGCTCGGGAAGAAACGCTCAAAACATACACACACGCATACAAATACACAACACTCTCAAGTAAGTTATTCATGATTCATAATCTTGTATTTCGTTACATAATCGATTGAAAGGTACTCTTGATCGTCTTCTTTCTACCAACCACACGCCCCCCAGGATAGTCATTACCACACCTAGAGCTGACACATCTGGGATATAGGCAGGCAATGAGATAAATCTAGTGTCTTTGAATACATTTCAAGTACACATATAGGTGTATATGTATAAGTATGTATCGTTAAATAAAGTTACTAGAAGAGAGCTGAAAAGGACGTTGAAATGAGAAAACCAAATTGCGAGAACGACTGTCACATACACACAGACGTTAGCAAGAAGGTGAAATGAACCATGAAAGAAAAAACAAACAAATTAAGCTACTACTTTATATAAGTCATTTAAAGTAGTTAGTATACGATGTGATGATGATGATGATAATAATAATAATAATTCATATTAGACATGTATGCATGCAATTTAGCATGTCCCACACTACTGAAATTAACTACACCCTTCTGTAAGTCTCCAAACAATAGCATGAGCACCGGAACCCATTTGTCGTGATCGATTAATATAATGAGTCCTATTGGAAGCTGAAAAGGGAAAAAAGCAAGGAGAATGAAAATAAATAAATAAACTGGATCAATAATAGGCGATATAATCATGTTTTCAAGTATTGATTTTGTAGGGAATTTTGTTTGTTTGATTGGTTGGAGGATTTCATCATAAGATGAAATCAAGTAGAGAACCATTGGAAAAACAGCGCACTGGAGTACTGGACAGATATTTCGTTAGAGTTTGTGACTCTTCAATAGTACGCACCCACCACCAGGGTTCGAAACCAGGAATTTCCGGTTACAAGGCGAGCTAGCTCGAAGACAAGCTACCGAAGCCGGTGTAATCTCTATCGTGTCAGAAACGAGTGACACCATCATCAGAAGGAAGCAATTCTACAGAGAGAGAGAGTGATGATCGAATATGAGGAGTCGCCGCACATCCTCAGCTTGCAGAGGACAGGTTTCATAGGCATCCGGTAAGACTGTGAGGATTGAAGCGTTGTAAACTTGACCTTTGACAGACAGGCTGACGCGGCATCTGCAGGTAACTGACTGATTGACGAATCAGCATGCAATTTCAGACAGCAGTGAATGGATTCAAGGCACAAAACTTCGAAAAAGTACATAATAATGTACGACAGAGAAAAACCGGTGGTATAATGGAAATAAAACTTTCTAAAATGTGATCGTAATTTAAGCAATAGTCTCCAACTATTGAGACTTAGAATGTCAAGGATACTCAGCTGGGAAATCATCACCTCCTTATCTACCACACACACACACACACACACACACTGATAGTCAGTAAATTGACAGAATGATGTTATTATCAAGACAAAAACACAATAACAACAAGAGAACATATGCACAATTTTTAAACATTACCTCGATCAGTGTCACTACTCTTTTTATGCACTGATAAAATCTGTCTCAGATCAACATAATCATGTCCAACAGAAACAATTAAATGATCCAATTCGTTCTCGTTCATTTGGGAAGCTATGAGAATAAAAAAATTAAGAAAAAAAGGATAGCAGAGATTGCATTATATTGAATAATATTCAATAATTTGTGTTGGGTGCACTCTGTTGGACTGCTTACCTAACACATGTTACTGAACGTCTTCCAATGTGATTTGTCCCTTTGACATAGTGGACCCCCATTAGCCACGACTTGTCAGTATAGCGATTCAAGAAGTTCAACCAGAAGCCATCAATAAGGTTGGAGATTGATATTTAGGTTATGGAGAGGGGGTTGTGAAGATTTGGATGGATTAGCCCCAGTGGGTCGATCGCTGACGAAATCTCAGCAGTTCGCTTTGTCCTCCCTAATGGTTGTGAGCGAAACATGACCATTGATAAAGAAAGACATGAAAAGTTCGGCTAGCTAACTTTGATCATAGGTGCCTGCGTTCTATCCCCAGTGTAAGTTGGTGGTATAATAAGGGGATCAATATTGAGGTTAGGCGTCCAGTGAGTGTCACGTAAGCTGGTGAGATCAACCGACGAGGTTGTGAAGTTACACCAAATCAGGGCGTTAGGACATGTGTTACGCATTCCTATCCCAGCTATCTCCTTCCTTGACTGGCAATATCAGCCGACATAGGATCAGGTTAAAAAAAGTTATTGGTGGTCAAACGAAAACACGACTTCATCAGTCAATGAATTCCATAACAGTTAGTTTAAGTCAGGGAGATGTAGACTTTCTGACTGGCTGGTTGGGATCCTCGGGATGGTAACAAGCAATGGCGGCGGCTGGAGACAATTGGTGATATGGCTCAAAATTGTTCTCAATGGCTGGCAGAAATGCATTCACCCTTTAAGATCTATAATATCCAATAAAATTCTATTTTTTCTTCCATAGTATTCTTTTTAATATATTTGTGCTTTGAAGTTTTTGTAGCCGTTTGGTTAAGTTTTGGGGTGGAGTTGCTAGCACCACGCTCCAACCCTCCCTCTTTATCCGGGCTTGGGACCGGCTAGAAAACTAGTGAGCTAGTAATCTAGGCAGCAGCAACATACAGCGCCAATCACCATCAACGAAAGGGATTTGAAAGAGGTTACTTCATTCACTTATCTAGGGAGCATTGTCTCAACTACAGGAGGAACGGACGACAATGTCAAATCGAGAATCGGGAAGGCGAGATACATTCACCAACCTGAAACCAATCTGGAAATCTTCGTCACTCCTCAACATCAACAACAAAATGATTCGGTTTTTCAATACAAACATCAAGTCAGTCAGTTCTTCTATACGGATCAGAAACTTGGCGGGTCACAAAGAATATTTCCAACAGGTTGCACACCTTTATTAACAACTGTCTTCGTTCTATACTCAAGATCAGATGGCCAGAAAGAATCACCAACATTAAACTATGGGATCAAACAAAACAGGAACCAATCGCTAAATAAATATGCAGGAGAAAGTGGAGATGGATTGGACACTCGCTGAGGAGGCCGCTGGGTGAAATCGCGCGTCACGCCATTGCTCGAGTGGAACCCGAAAGGGAAGCGGCGAGTGGGACGTTCAAGGGTGACATGGAGGAGATCGTGTGAAGAGGAGTTGAAACATTATGGATTAACATGGATGCAGGTGAAAAATACAGCAGAAGACAGAAGCAAGGGGAGGCGTGCAGTTGAAGCCCTATGTTCCACTAGGAACCCGAGAGAACAATAATAACAATAGTAATAATAATAATATTCTTTTTGCCTCACTCATATTTCTGTTTATGATCTTTCTCTCTTTTGAATCTCTCTTTACTCTCTTCTCCCGCTTCGTGTGCTACATACAAGGAGTCTGGCAACTGGAACTGCTGCACACCCTCACAAAGTTCTTAGTTGAAACTAGTCAGTCAGGCAAAAAGATCTGGATCAATTTCAATGAAGATTTCGTATTCTAGTAGGTCAAATAATCTATGATAGGTACAAAACTTGAAGTCTATTGTTTTCTGTAGACATGTATAGTTTTGGGATCTATGTGTGATTAATTTCTAAAGCACTTCTTTTATTCCCTTTAGTAATCTGGATTTCATATGTGAAATAGTAATTGAGAGACAGTCATTAATATTGAATTTTTTAACCAAACATTCATTGTCGCTTTGCAATAAATGATGCTAGGCTTCTATCCAAATTAAATATATTTAGACTTTTTATGTGACGTAATAACCATTTCAGAACACGTTCTTTCCAACAACATGGAAAGATTCTGTTGGTTCTAAGATTATATATAAATACGCCCCCGCAACGGCAGGTGAACTGCAGGTAGATACAGTGGCAAAGTAGAGTGCATAGAATTACGTTCTTTATTCATAAACACAGGAATTCGAAAGACTCTACATGTTAAGAATAGAGATGCAGCGAGGACTGTATCCTCGACAGCTGATCACTGACTGCATTTGAGATATTAATCGCATGAACTGATCACTCTTGAATGGTAGATTATTAAAGATAGCTTTCTTTTCTAGCGGACGTTTTCCTTTTCATTGTGTTATACACTGAAGTTTCCAGGATATCCATCAGCCGACCGTAGTTCATTCATTAATATACTACTCTACTCATGCACATTTTGCGGATGCTTGAAAACTTTCACAATTATAACAATAGACAAATTGTTCTACTGGATTTTCAACAACGTAAACATACACTCAGCCAGCATGAAGAACAAGACTCGGATTTTCAACACAAATGTTAAGCCAATCAGTAACTGCTTCTATATAGGTCGGAAACGTGGCACGCGCACACGACGCATCACGAAAAGCATTTCTAACAGGTTGCATAATTTTATCGACAGCTGCCTCCTTCCCTGGCTGGCTCCATACTGAAGATCAAATGCCCGAAAAGTGTTATCAACAGGGAACTCTGGGAACGAACCAACAGTCGAGAGTTCATGATTCAACGGTAGAATGCTCACTAGCCACTACAGGAGGTTTAGGTTAGATTCCCGCTCGGTAGATTCCTAAACTTCACTCAGTTTTCACTAACCATCAGATAATAATAATTTCTTTTATTCCAAAACAGTACTTGTGATACAGAACGGAATTCTCAGCATTTCAGTGCAGTATTGCATCCAGTTTGTACATTAACAATAAATAAAATTCTACATAGATTATAGGTAGTCTCAGTTAATTTTGACAAGAACATATTAGCATATCGGTAACAAAGCCAAAAGTGAACAGAATGTTTGAAGGTGTTAGAAGAGTAGATACTAGCATATTTACTGGCGTAAGTGGTAACAGGAAGGTCGAGATGTACATAGTGTGAAAGAACGAAGAAGAATGTTTTAAGTGGAGTTTGTAAGGAAGCAGCACATAACAAAAGAGAGAGAGAGAAAAGGAAAAGAAAGAAAGAAAACGTTGTTCCTATAAATGATATGAGTTTGAGAGACGAGATCCAATTGTTCTACTGACTATTTAATAAGTTACAGGTGTCACGCCTAATGCGAGCCAAGTAGAATATGGTTGATTTTTTGTACTTGCTGGTGCGAGCATATAGTTTCCTATATAGGCTTCTGGTCCTGCCTGATGAGATACAAGGGAAGAGTTGTGAATGAAGAGGGTGGTGTGAGTTAGATAGAATGGATTTAGCCCATTTTTTACATGAGTCCAAGTGCCTGTCGACCAGAATATTAACAAGCTGGTTAAGTGGCACGTTGCTTACCCTGCTGACAACCTTTAATATCCTACGTAATAAGATATAGTCCTTCCTCAGTAGCCCTAGAAAAACTAGGGGGGAACAATAGAAAATTATAGGCAGAATGCAAGATTTAACGAATCGTTAGAGTAAGGGTTGGGTTATTCCAGAATGTCCTAACTTCTTGATGTAAAAGGTAAGAAGGAATATTTCCTAAGTAATCATCAAGATATGAGACAACCAGGAAAGATCAGCAGATAGAATAATGCCAAATATTTAATTTCCGACTTGGTCTCTATTTCAGTGCCATCTACGTCGCACACCTCACGTAGCCTTGGCCCTGATGGTGTATCTGCTTATGTTCTAAAACAATCTGCAGATGCTCTGTGTTCTTCACTTACTGACATCCTCAACGTTTCTTTTTCCAAAAACGTTGTACCTGTTGCATGGAAAGACATTAAAATAGTCCCTGTCCCTAAACCTGGAAATAGCAAGAATGTAAAATTCAGACCCATTTCTATTATTTCCCCATTTCTAAAGCTGATTGAAAAACTAGTACTTCTTAAACTTGAACCCTCCCTTAAAAGTTTTGAAGACCCCAAACAATTTGCATATAGACAGGGTAGGAACACTTTAGACGCTGCAGCCGTCTTACACAACAGTATCGTCTCATCATTAGATAAAGGTGCCAAATACGTCCGTTGCACGTTTCTCGACATCACCTCTGCTTTTGACTCTGTACCTAGATGTCTCTTGCTAAACAAGCTCTCGATGACACAAACTGAATCCTGGGTGACAAACTGGTTGCATTCCTATTTCTCAAACAGAATGGAGTACACTGTATACAAAGGTAAATCCTACTCTGCTGTGCTCACTGAAGTTGGTGTCCCCCAAGGTGACATTAATTTGTTAAATATGCTGACGATCTGACTGCATCTTTGCCTGTCAAGTGTCAAAGTGACTGTTCCAAACTAAATGGCTTTTAATCAGAAATCAGCCAGTAGTCCAAGGAAAACGGCCTTACCTTAAATCCCTCTAAATGTCAAACAGTCAATTTCACCTTTAGGCATAAATCTGACCTAAACAAACTGGTTAGCACTCACGAGGTGTGCAACAGATAGTCCGGGAAAGAGAGAGGTTGAAGTGCCGTAAGAAACTCCATCCCGTGAGGACAACACTATCGCTACTAAAAACTTCAAAAGAAGCTTGAAGCCTTATGTTCAAATTCCAACATAAAGAGAAACCTTTCAAGAAGCCAAATTAAACCGAAATCAAGCTGATCAATCTCGGTCAGATATAAATCAATAGGGAATCAATCAACCATACACACAAATAAATTTCAAATCATTCCTATAGCACAAGGAGTAGTTCTCGTTACTTATTAGCCTAGTGAGTAACGCTTTAGAATTTGAAGAGACAGATAGGTACAGCTTTAAAGTCTCGGTCGGAAGAAAGTGCATCCAGATGACGAGTAGTAAATAAGACAAAACGCTCATCCTAAATTCTATTGTTAGCCGCAATCAAACAAGCAACTTCGAATTCAGTTTTTACTTTTGCTGGTTTGTTTTTCCGAATTACATATATTTCTCTACAATTTACATAACAACATTATAATATATGCCTTATTTTACTTACCTTGAAGTAGTAGAAGTAAATTGCATACAGGACGTCTGTAACCATGACAACTGATTGATATCGAAGAAGATTTTGGTAATTCAATTTCATGCTGAGAAGTATTCATTTCTATAAAGTAAACACAAACACACATACACAGACACAAAATGAAGCAAGAACAATTGTCATGAATTATCAGAAGTTAGAACTCATGTATTGGTCATTGGATCGGGTCCCAGTGGCTGCTTAGTGGTCTGCAATCTAGCTCACCTAGCCCCATGGTTTGGGTGCGTACTGGTGAAGAGTCCCAAGCTAGGATGCAGGAATTAGTTGTCCAGTAATCCAGTGCTGGTTTTCCAATAGTTGTTTAGCTGATGTGATCGCATGATGAAATCCTCCAACCAATCAAACAAACAAAATCCTTACAAAACGAATACTTGAACATTTGATATTATTGAAAAAATGAATCATGCCTAAATTTGTTTAAATAAAGATGAGTAAAAACATGGTCAACTGCTGCTTTACTAGTCAGTCGTGAGCACGGAAAAGAAGCTTGGGTTTGGTCTGAGGCAACCAGTCCCACATCATCCTGAAGAAGACTGTACTCCAAGGTTACTGGAAACTTCAAATCCCAGAATAATATAAACTTATTCTCTGATGAAATAGCAAAGACTTGCTAACTTGAGGATGAATGCCGCTGGCTGGTCAAAGCTTTTTACGAAGCAATTCGATCAGTGTGTCTTTTCTTGTGATAAAAGCAAAAGTAAGCGTGAGGACATGGAGTGTTTGGATCATCTTTTGAGGCAGGTAAGTCTGCTGAGATTGTAAGAGAAATGGTGTAAACGTGTTAGGAAGTGAACTCTCTCTGAACTGATAACTGATAAGTCAATAATCTACTCCAGTCAGACGGACGATAATTATGCAAGCTTTGAGGGAGTGACTATTGTGATGTCACCAACATTATCGAAGGCTCTAATGCAGTGGGGACCAATCTCTTCGAAGATTATTATTATTATTAGTCAATATCAATATTAGCGTTTTTTGAAATAATATCGATTTGTAAAGTAAGACCAATGCAATTACAGTTCATTGAAGATGCTTCAAATATAATAATAATAATAATAATAATAATAATAATAAAGATATAGTAGCGAATAGAATATCAACTAAAATTAGGAAAATTCCACAAAAATTCATGATCATTCAAACCTAGATGGCCAAGGTAATGATAATGTCTGAACTAACTTCTTTTGGATGCATAAATTAGGTTTATTAATATGGATCCCAACAGCCTCAGCAATATTTAGTAGTCGAACTCTTAAGGCGAAAGTAAGATTTGTTGGTATGCGGTAAATGACCCTGAAAGCATGATTAACGTCAATCTTGTGTTCTGTATCCACAAGATGAGACAAAATAGCGACTATGTAACTGGCTCACTTCACAGGAGCAGTTAAATTGGTCTTATTCATACAAATGCAGTTCCTTGGGGACAACACCAGTGAGATACCAACACAGCGCCTAAGAAATGCGGTAAAAAGAGCATTCCCTGCTGCCGAATTACGCTGTATCTCTAAAACCACTCTTCTTCTGCGTTCGGGAGTAAACGACAAACTGCCTAAATTCGCCTCTTCCATGTGTATCTACCAATTTAACTGCTCCTGTGGAGCCAGTTGCATAGGCCGTACTATTAGGCGTGTTTCTCGTCGAATTTCCGAACATCACTCTGCATTGTGGTTAAGTAAAGAAAAAACAAAATCTATTCACAGCGCTATTCTGTCTCATCTTGTGGATACAAAATAGAAGATTAATGTTAACCATGCTTTCAGGGCCATTTACCGTACACCTACGAATCTCAATTTTGCCTTAAGAGTTCGACTGCTAAATATTGCTGAGGCTGTGGGGATACATATAAATAAGCCTAATTTATGCATCCAAAAGAAGTTAGTTCAGACATTATCCTTACCTTGGCCATCTAGGTTTGAATGATCATGAATTTTGTGGAATTTTCCTAATTTTAGTTGATATTCTATTCGCTACTATATCTTTATTATTATTATTATTAATAAAATTTAAGCATCTTTAATGAACTGTAATTGCATTGGTCTTACTTTACAAATCGATATTATTTAAAAAAACACCAATATTGTTATTAACTACTAATTTAAAATATTCTGTGTATATAAACATATATCTATAAATGTAGAGCCGGAAGAGGAATTTATCGAAAAGAATATTCTTTGCTCGATTATTTTGTGTTTTATAGAAATTGAAAAGGGGTGAAACCGACATCCTCAGTGTCGTGAGGAGTAGACACATAGTAGTAGGAAAGGAGAAAAAATAATAAAAAGTTTAAAATAAATCAGGATTAACACAAAAACGAAGAATCAAATATGCAGACAAATTTGGTCCATTGGAGATATTCAGTAGCTGAACAGACGACTTCTTCTGTATGTAGAGTCGAGGAGATAACATGTGGATTGCCCTTGTCTTCTGAGGTTTATAGAAGAGCTTGATTTGTACTCCACAGAAGCACACTTTAAATCTTGAACTCTGCATACAATAGAAGTGTATATGCAATTACTGAGCCCTTCCTTCCGCTACTCTTCTAGTCTTTATTGCTCTGATCTTCACTTCGCCCCTCTACTCAATCGTGTCAGTTATGTTACCTCACTCAGTTTCACTGTTTCAATTTTATTTTACTTCCTACTCCATTAATGCTTCTCTGTATTGTCATCTAAAAGCTACAATTTGAATGACACGTCTCTGGAAACATTCCTTTCGTCGCTATGCTAATAGTATACGATCAGATACATTTTTTCTTTTAATTATAGCTTAACTCCACACCGTATTTTTGTTACAAGTATAGAATTTTCAGCATATGATATCGGTAGCCCAAATTTTGCAGGCCGATCAATGATATCAGATGTGAGTCGGCATGGTCGGCGAGGGTCCTAACCGCTGTGTCACCGACGCACATACGTGATTGTACAGCTAGTCAATGGTATGACTGATGAAAACAGTAACTCTTGACTGAACGAAAGACAGCATTTGTTTCAATATACTTTGATTTAGTGGGTTAATGAACCTGGTCGAATGATAAGTTTTGGTTTAGACTCGTAACCAGCCTACTAACAGCACAACTATCACAGCTTAAATATTAGAATAATGGTGAACGCATGTTGTCTAGCACAGATAGATGTTTTTTTAAAATATGTTTGTATCCTCTGATCTAAGTGATTTAATTACGGAGCTCATCCATCCATGTGTCAGTCGTGCACATTCAGTATTATTAGCTAATGGTTATTCAGAAAACTTTATCAATTGTCACAGCAAGCGTAGATCACTTCTTGAAAAGAGAGCTTCTGTATCAAAGAAAGCTATCTTTATTAACCTACCATTCAAGCAAGGGTGATCAAAATTATGCAGTTGACAGCTCAAAGACTCCCGTCAACCATGCATGAAGCACACATTCTACGCTGCATCTCTTTCCCTCACATGCCGAACATTTTCGATCACTGTACCTACGATTAAAGGATGAAATTCTGTAGACTCTACTTCAAACTGTGTCTACACGTTCATCTGCAGTTGTTGCGATGACACTTATATAGTTAGAACCAATAGTATATGCCAATGTTGTTGAAAAGAACATGTTCTAAAATGGTTATTAAGATATATAGAAAATCCCAATTCAATTAATCTGAATAGAAATCCATCATCATCCATTGCAAACCGCTTATTGATGTCAGGTCACTAAATCAATATGAATGACTGTTTTACAATTATTTATTCACATAACTCTAATTCAAGTTTGGTTATTGAAGGTGATGGAAGCACTTTGAATTAATCCTATGCATCCTAAACTATGCGTACAAAAAACAACAATCGATTTCAACCTTCGCCTACCATGATGGACTACTTAACCTATTTAATTAAATATGATTGATCATTAGTATGTACTTTTGTTTTATGTAACTGAGTAATTGTCATACATTCTATTTTATTACTGTGAGCCATGTTAGCTGTACCTTGATTGTAAAGAATCTACGAAATGATGCCATCATCTAGTGAAATTTGTCTTCTTAATGCCTTATTCAAATTTAGCGAGGTGACTAATTGTTTTAATTTTCTCAAACAAAGGCTCCCTAAAGATAGATATAATAATAATTTGCTTTATTCCAAAAACAGTACTAATGATACAGCAAGGAATTTTCAGCATTCAGTACAATATTACATCTAATTTACTCAAAAACCACAAAAAAACAAACAAAAAACAAATAGAAATTAATAAACATTACATAATAATGATAACAAAACGTTGCTTTAGCAACTATTTAGCAAAATACTGTATGCAATACGGAGAAAAATATGCATAAAGTATAAAATTATAGTAATAATAGTAATAACAACTAGAATAAAAATAGCCAAGTTATAATTAAACGATAGAAAGGGTGACACCATAAAATTACAGAAAGATGAACAATGAAAGGGTCGATTCACTTTGCTAATTACATAGTAACTTATATGTTTCACGTCTAACAGAGTCTTCATCGCATAAAATACGGGCTAAATAGGGTATTGTAGAATTTTTGTACTTAGTGGTTCGAGCATGTAACTTTTTATATTGACTTCTCGTCCTATCTGATGAGATACAAGGGGATAGTTGTGAATAAACGGGGTGCAGAGGGTCTGACAGTGCGGCCTCTGCCCACTTTGTACAGGAATTTATGTGTCTCTCGACTATAGTATTGGCGAGCTCACGCAGTGGCAAACCACAAGCCCTACTGACAGCATTTAATACCCTTCGTAATATGATATAGTCTTTTTTGAGAAAACCAGGAAAGATTAATGGGGAGCAACAGAGTACAATAGGTAAAGTACAAGAGTTTAAATATTGCAGAACTGAAGGTTGGTTGATACGTGATTGTCTTAACTTTTTAATGTAGAAGGTAAGACGAAACATTTTCTTAGAGATTGATAAGATGTGGGATGACCACGAAAGGTCAAAAGAAAGAACTAATCCAAGGTATTTAATGCTTGACTTGGTTTCAATTTCAGTTCCGTCTATGCTACAGGCATCATGGGAACAAACTAGTTCATGTATGTCACGTCGATGCTTGAAAGTAAAGTTAACTGCCTGACATTTGGAAGGATTTAACATAAGACCATTTGACTTAGACCACTTGCTGATGTCCAACAGAAAGCTGTTACGTTTGGAGGAGTCAGACTCGGAAGTGATAGGCAGTGATACAGTCAGATCATCCGCATATCTGACAAAGTTAGTTTCGTTTAAATAAGGCAGGTCGTGTAGGAAGAAAGAAAAAAGAAAAGGAGAGAGGACGGCACCTTGAGGAACACCGGCTTTTGTAAGCAAAGCAGAAGATTTGCCATTATATGCAGTATACTGCATTCTATCAGAAAAATAAGAATGCAACCAACTCTTAGCCCAGGAATCTGTGTGAGTCAACGAAAGCTTATTTAACAAAAGGTCCCTAGGTACAGAGTCAAAAGCAGATGTGTAGTCTAGGAAAGCACCACGAACATGTATATTTCTATGTCCTACCTGATAACCTTGTTTGTGATTGGCTGGTTTAGGCATTGATCGTTCTCATTGACGCAGAGTTCAGCTTTTTGTGTTAGTTGATCAGTTTGATCAATATGTCAGTAAGTAACGACAGAAAACAAGGGCTAGGCAACAGATCGTTTATTAAGAAAATCAAGAGGCATTTATAGATTTTTATGTACATTATTATAAGCGTTGTTGTTTAGCAGGAAGTAACCTCTTCTGATTGGTTGTTTTCTTGCTGAAGGTTATTCCGTTATCGCTCTGTGGCCGTTTTCTTAGAAAGTTAAGCCATATTTCTGCGAAATGTATTTGCACACGTCAAGTCCGTTGTGATTGGTTGGTGAATTCCTCAAGGTTAGACTTTGTTCTTGTTTTTTTCTCATGATTCTGATTTGGAACGTAAACATTGGCGTAAATTGCTGTCTACAATTTTGGCTAGCAGATAGCTCTCACTACAGTAGTAGTGTAACGATAGAAGACGTAAGATTTGATATAGAAGTGTTTCTTTGCAATTTGGTATTTCCTAATGTAGTCACATTTTGTACACCTTATCTTCAACGCACAGATCTACCGTGTTGTCCCTGCTACTTCTGGCCTTCTTTGATATTGTGTTTCTTTGTGTTCCTTTCACGTCTCTCAATTATCTCAGTAACGCTGTATCATTCGCTTTCTCTGACATCAAATCTATCTCCCTGTTAATTGATGTTTTTATACCGATGAACATCCGCTTATATATACTACTGATAGATCTTATCAGTAGCACACACCACAGTAGTAGTATTATAGTATTATTAGGGTAATTGAAATTCAGCCAGAATACGTAGAATAGCGTTACTGCGTATCCCTATTGATTGTTGAGTCGTAGTTCGTCGCTATGGTACTTTAAATAAGACTTTATTATTATTATTATTGTTCCCTTGGATTCCTAGTGGAACATAGGGCTTCAACTACACGTCTCCAATTGCTTCTGTCTTCTGCTGTACTTTTCACCTGCATCCATACTGATTCAACTCCTCTTCACACGATCTCCTCCATGTCACCCTTGGATGTCCCACTCACCGCTTCCCTTTCGGGTTCCACTCGAGCACTGGCCTGACGCGCGATGTCACCCAACGGCCTCCTCAGCGAGTGTCCAATCCACCTCCACTTTCTCCTGCATATTTGTTGGGTGATTGGTTATTGTTTTGTTTGTTCCCATAGTTTCTTGTTGGTGATTCTTTCCGGCCATCTGATCTTCAGTATAGAGCGAAGAAAGTTGTTGATAAATGTCTGAAACAGGCTGTTGGAAATATTGAGTATGTGTTAATCTTGGTGAAGAGTGCTCAAATTATTCTTCTGAGTTTAGATCAAACATGTCAAAAAAAACTTGTTAATTAGTCGAATATATATATAGCGGGTTGTCAGAAGTTGGAATTCATGGCCCACGGGGTGTTGCCGTGTAATCGGAAGGTATTGGGGATTCCTAACCCTATGGCCGCGTACTGTTGAAGACTCCCAGCTGATTTTCCAATGCTTCTCTAACTGATATCAGCTTGTCGTCATCATCAAACCTGTAATGAATCAACTATGCACCAATATTACAGACAGATAATATGCCCGCGAGACTCAGGGATTGACTTGCTACCAGAGAATAATTTCGTTGACTTAGAATATGCAGATGATATAGTCCTTCTAGGCGAGGACGCTGACAAAATGCAGAGTCTTCTGAACACCTTGAGCAGCAATCTTCGTATGTTTGGCATGCGATTCGCCTCTGTAAAATGTAAGATGATGTTGCAGGATTGGACTACACCGATTCCTAGATTAGAAATAGGAAGTGAAGTGGTGGAGCACGTTGACCGCTTCACTTATTTGGGAAGTACCAACAGCCCCAACGGGTTGATCTCTACGGAAATCTCAGTACGAATACAGAGGGCTAGTTTCGCATATGCCAGTTTACGCCGTCTCTGGCGTAGACGTGATATCCGGCTGGCTATCGACCAAAGGGCGTGTGTACTGCTCATCAGTCCGCTCCGTCCTCCTTTATGGTTGGCTGTGACACCTGGCCATTGAGAGTGGAAGATGTGAAAAGATTAGCTGTCTTTGATCATAGGTGTCTGCGTTCTATCTCCCGTGTGAAGTGGTATAATAAGGTGAGTAATATTGAGGTTAGGCGTCGAGTGCTAGGTAAGGTGGGGAAATCAATCGACGATGTGAATACATAGACTGAGATGGTTAGGACATGTGTTACGTATGCCTAGTCATCACCTTCCTCGACTGACGGGCAATGTTAGCTGACATAGGGTCAGACTGGAAAAAAGCTAGCGGCGGTCAAACCAAAACATGGCTTCACCAGTCAATGAAATCTACAACAGTTAGTTTAAGCCACGTAGGAAGGTGTAGACTTCTGTCTGGTTGGGATCCTCGAGACGGTAAAAACCAATGGTTGGAAACAATTGGTGACATGGCTCAAAATCGTTCTCAATGACAGCGCAGATGCATCCACTCCTTGTGACTTATGATTTCCAATGAAACTGTTTTGTTCTTCGTTATTACTATTCCTTTGTCTCACACCTCTGTTTACTGTCTATATTATGCATTTCTCCTACTTTCTTCTCTTGCTTTGTGTGCTACGATGGAGTGTGGCGACTTGAACTGCCGCACATCTGTGCAAAGTTCTATGTCGAAAACCGACCGACCCGCGTGTGTGTGCAGTGCAGTTCATTGGTGTTTCAATGGTATAGCATTCAGCGACCACGCTGTATGTTGTCCAGCATTCGATTCTTAGCTGACGCAGTCCTTAACTTCACTTACTCTTCGTAACCAGTAGTAGGAAGAGTGAAGAGATAATGTTGACCTTGGGGCTAGCGACCCGACTACGTATAGGGAAACATCCCTCATAGTTCCCCAAACTTTAAGCCCTATATTCCACTCAGAATGCAAACGAATAAAATGCGTGTATATATATATATATATATATATATATATATATATATATATATATATAGATCACAGTTGTATTGATGCATAAAATGACAGGTACAGGTTGAACTGAATGATGAAATAATAAGCAGAATAGACGACGACAATAACGACAACAACAACAGAAACGACAGACAAATCGAGAGAAGAACAGGAAAAAAAGATAAAGACCTATTTAAAGTAATCTGATGTCGTGTATTGTTCAATGTTATAGAGTACCGTTATCACACACTGTATGATAGTGAAATGTGGATCAAATGTGAGGCGATGCCTTTCCGCACACGCACACACACACACACACACAATAGAATGAAATGCACAAGCCGGATGAAACGGTTGAAAAAACCCCCAAAAAACCACAAAAATCACAGTGGCTGTTGAAAAAAGATCACAAATCAAGATCAAAAAAAACAAACAAAAAAAGCACGATCAATAAATAAATAAATAAATAAGTAAATAAATGCCAAGTAACAGGAAAGCATAAAAGCATGAAAACAAAGCATATTTATGTATATATATATTAATTTCTGTATATTGCACAACAATGAATAAGGAAAGAGAGGTGGATAGTGTGGCGAGTGAGTAGGGCGGGGGGGCTCGGGAAGAAACGCTCAAAAAATGCACACACAAACACACACACACACACGCATACACATACACAACACTCTCAAGTAAGTTATTCATGATTCAGAATTTCGCATTTGGTTACATAATCGATTGAAAGGTACTCTTGATCGTCTTCTTTCTACCAACCACCCGCCCCCCCCCCAGGGTAGTCATTACCACACCTCCAACTGACACATCTGGGATATAGGCAGGCAATGAGAGGAATCTAGGGTCTTTGAATACTTTTCAAGTACAATATATATATGTATAAGTATGTGTCGTTAAATAAAGTTACTAGAAGAGAGATGAAAAGGACGTTGAAATCAGAAAAACAAATTGCAAGAATGACTGTCACATACACATGCACACAGACGTTGACAAGAAGTTGAAATGAACCATGAAAGAAAAAACAAACAAATTAAGCTACTACTTTATATAAGTCATTTAAAGTAGTTAGTATACGATGTGATGATGATGATGATAATAATAATATAATCATATTAGGCATGTATGCATGCACCTATGCAATTTAGCACGTCCCACACTACTGAAATTAACTACACCCTTCTGTAAGTCTCCAGACAATAGCATGAGCACCGGAACCCATTTGTCGTGATCGATTAATATAATGAGTCCTGTTGGAAGCTGAAAAGGGAAAGAAGCAAGGATAATAAAATAAATAAATAAACTGGATCAATAATAGGCGATATAATCATGTTTTCAAGTATTGATTTTGTAGGAATTTTCTTCGATTGGTTGGAGGATTTCATCATAAGATGACATCAGTTAGAGAACCATTGGAAAACCAGCACTAGAGTACTGGACAGATATTTCGTTCGAGTTTGCGACTCTTCCATAGTGCGCACCTACCGCCAGGGTTCGAAACTTGGAAATTCTGGTTACAAGGCGAGCTGGCTCGTAGACTATTAAACAGCCACTGGGACCCAATCCAATCGCCCATGATGCTCACTAGCGACTGGTCCTATTCAGACAGTTACCTGGGGTTCTAGTGGGAAGCCGAGACAAGTAGGGGTGAGGCATTAGCTCATCGAAGAAGAAGACATTGCGAAGTTGTCGCACTTTGTCATGAATTGGCAGAAGTGAGGATTCATGGACTGGCCACTGGATTGGATCCCAGCGGATTAATGGTCTACGAGCTAGCTTGCTAGCCTTGTAACCAGAAGGTCCTGGGTTCGAACCCCGGATGTAGATGCGTACTGATGGAGAGTCCCAAACCAGGCTAACGAAACAGTTGTCCAGTACACCAGTGATTCTCTAACTGACATCAGCTCATGATGAAATCCTGTAACACAGTCATGTGTCATTAGGCAGTAATTAAATATACATTACATATGACATAATTAAACTACCTGAGTAGTATTGTTTCAACTACAGGTGACATGAATGACGATGTCAAAGCTAGCCAGAATCAGGAAGACAAGACACGCGATTATTACTTCGAAATCGACGTGGAGGTCCGCAGTACGTAGCACACTGAACAAGAAAGTAATTTGGATAAAGACTAATGTCAATTCAGTCAGTCAGTACTTCTACCTTAGTTCACCAAAAGTATTGGACATTTTTGTCAGCGACGAATGTCTACTTATCTCAATACTGTAGATCAGCTGGCCGATTGGGAAGGATAAGCAACAAGGAAGTCTGAAAGGCAACGAACCAGCCAACATTCTATTGTTCAACACATATGAAGAAGGAAGTAGAGTTAGACAGGTTGGACATATGCGGAGGTGATAGGTCTTCAAGTCACATTGTGCCCATCAGGTAGTCGAATGGAACCCTAATGGGAAGCGACTGGTTGAAGGCTCCATGGTGACATGCAGAAGATCATGAGAGGAGGAAATCAAAGTTCTTAGGAAGTCACAGAATCAATTGAAAATGATGACAGAGAACTGGAAAGGGATAGAGATATGAGGCTGAAGTCCTACTTTGCACATAGATCGCAAGGAAGGAATAGTAGTAATAATAATTATACTACCTGAGGAGATAGGCTGAGTTTAAAGTTTAGAAAATACTGGATGTTAGATAAAATTCCAAAGTTAAGTGATGACCAAAAACTGTTAGGAACTTGAAAACGACATAGTTTGTTTCTCTGAAATCAGAAAAGTCAAAAACCAAGAAAACTGTTCACGAAGAACTAAACAATCTCCAAAGAATGCTGATGGATAACATCTTTCTCCCAAGATTCATAGACAAGAACGTGAAACCGAAATACCGCAGATGAACGCGTCCAGGTAGCCCCTCTCGCCCACACCTCCCGAGAGATTTTGCTACTGAACTGGAAATTCTTTGGAATTGGTTTTCAAAATCTCTCAGTAAAACATAGCTCGCTACCAGCTTCCCAATAACATTCTATTGTAAAGAACTGTGCGGAAGACGAGTTATCTCATCGGGCCGCATCAATATGCACAAATCAGTCCACTTGCTTCTTTTCAGCTGAGTACATTAGCTGTAAAATACCTTGCTTGATAAATGCGCTGGTGAACAGTATTCAGACTGGTTAGTAAATGCAGAACGTAAGTGAGTGCTTAGTTGGATAGAAAAGACCACCTTGGAGCTTGGGACGCTCCGTTCTATTTGAAAAGTTCAAAATCTGGACAAATCTCTCAAAGGAAGTGATATCAAGACATCCACAATTAGGTAAAGCATTAGCCGTTAGAAAATTCAAGTCAACACTATTGTATCCAAAAGGAGTAGGTCCAACTTTTGTCTTTACCTTGACTATCATAGCTAGTCTATTTCCTTGAGAAAATGATTCGTATTCACACTATATTTAATACCTAAATTTTTTTCTATTCTCCTGTTTTAATATGTATTCATGTTGTGTGGCTTAATCTTGTTGTTGGAATTATATTTTGACCTCAGACCAGGAATAGTTTCAAAACATTCCTACGGCTTCATTACATTATCCACGAATGAATTTATTATTATTATTCCCTTGGGTTCCGACTGGAGCATACAGCTTCAACAACACATCTCCACTTTCTTCTATTTTCAACTGTCCTCTTCAGCTGGCTAGCTCCATGGTTGACCATAATCTCTCATCTTCTCCTTCAACTCACACACACGATCTCCTCCATGTCATCCTCGCACCAACAACCCACTCGTCAATTCCCATTTAGATTCCATTCAACCGATGGTATGCATTGCTCACGATGTCATTCGACCGCCTCCTCAACGTATGCCCGATCTATCCATCTCCACTTTTTCCTACATATCTGTCGATCAATTGGCTCTCGCCTGCTGGTTTATTCATCGCCAGAGGTTCTTGTTGCTGGTTATTTCTGGCCAACCGGTAGGCCATTTGATCTTCACAGTATGGAGCCAGCCAGCGAAGGAGGGAGCTGTTGATAAAAGTTTGCAACACGCCGACCAAGCTTCTCACTCGTATAGAAGAACTGACTGAATTTACATTGTGTTGAAAATCCGGATTTTGTTCTTTACGTTGAGACAGTGCAGAAGATTTCCAAGCTGATTTCACTTGGTTGAAGGCGGAGAGAAACCGGTACGGAAGCCTATGAGATGACACTCATAACACATATCCAAGCTACCGAAGCCGGTGTAATCTCTATCATGTCAGAAACGCGTGATACCATCATCAGAAGGAAGCAATTCTACAAGGATAGTGATGATCGAATATGAGGAGTCGTCGTACATCCTCAGCTTGCAGAGGACAGGTTTCATAGGCATAGGGTAAGACTGTGAGGATTGAAGCGTTGTAAACTCGACCTTTGACAGACAGGCTGACGTGGCATCCAGAATTAACTGACTGATTGATGAGTCAGCATGCAATTTCATGCATGCAGTGAATCAATTCAAGGTACAAAACTTCGAAAAAGTACATAATAATATACGACAGAGAAAAACGGGTGGTATAATGGAAATGAAACTTTCTAAAATCTAATCGTAATTTAAGCAATAGTCTCCAACTATTGAGACTTAGAATGTCAAGGATACTCAGCTGAGAAATCGTCATCTCCTTATCTATCACACACACATACACTGATAGTCAATAAATTGACAGAATGGTGGTATTATCCACACAAAAACACAATAACAACAAGAAAACATATGTGTAATTTTTAAACATTACCTCGATCAGTGTCACTGCTCTTCTTATGCACTGATAAAATCTGTCTCAGATCAACATAATCATGTCCAACGGATACAATTAAATGATCCAATTCGTTCTCGTTCATCTGAGAAGCTATAAGAATAAACAAATTAAGAAAAAAAGAATGGCAGAAATTGCATTATATAGAATAATATTCAATAATTTGTATTGTGTGCACTCTGTTGGACAGCTTACCTAACACATGTTACTGAACGTCTTCCAATGTGATTTGTCCCTTTGACATGGTCGACTCCCATTAGCCACGACTTTTCAGTATAGTGATTCAAGAAGTCCAACCAGATGCCATTAATAAGGTTGGAGATTGATATTTAGGTTATGGGCGGGGGGCTATGAAGATTTGGATACACTAGCCCCAGAGGGTCGACCGCTGACAAAATCTCAGCAGCTAGCTTTGTCCTCCTTAATATGGCTGTGAGCGAAACATGACCATTGATAAAGAAAGACATGAAAAGTTCGGCTAGCTAACTTTGATCATAGGTGCCTGCGTTCTATCCCCAGTGTAAGTTGGTGGTATAATAAGGTGATCAATATTGAGGTTAGGCGTCCAGTGAGTGTCACGTAAGCTGGTGAGATCAACCGACGAGGTTGTGAAGTTACACCAAATCAGGGCGTTAGGACATGTATTACGCATTCCTATCCCAGCTATCTCCTTCCTTGACTGGCAATATCAGCCGACATAGGATCAGGTTAAAAAAAGTTATTGGTGGTCAAACGAAAACACGACTTCATCAGTCAATGAATTCCATAACAGTTAGTTTAAGTCAGGGAGATGTAGACTTTCTGACTGGCTGGTTGGGATCCTCGGGATGGTAACAAGCAATGGCGGCGGCTGGAGACAATTGGTGATATGGCTCAAAATTGTTCTCAATGGCTGGCAGAAATGCATTCACCCTTTAAGACCTATAATATCCAATAAAATTCTATTTTTTCTTCCATAGTATTCTTTTTAATATATTTGTGCTTTGAAGTTTTTGTAGCCGTTTGGTTAAGTTTTGGGGTGGAGTTGCTAGCACCACGCTCCAACCCTCCCTCTTTATCCGGGCTTGGGACCGGCTAGAAAACTAGTGAGCTAGTAATCTAGGCAGCAGCAACATACAGCGCCAATCACCATCAACGAAAGGGATTTGAAAGAGGTTACTTCATTCACTTATCTAGGGAGCATTGTCTCAACTACAGGAGGAACGGACGACAATGTCAAATCGAGAATCGGGAAGGCGAGATACATTCACCAACCTGAAACCAATCTGGAAATCTTCGTCACTCCTCAACATCAACAACAAAATGATTCGGTTTTTCAATACAAACATCAAGTCAGTCAGTTCTTCTATACGGATCAGAAACTTGGCGGGTCACAAAGAATATTTCCAACAGGTTGCACACCTTTATTAACAACTGTCTTCGTTCTATACTCAAGATCAGATGGCCAGAAAGAATAACCAACAAGAAACTATTGAAACAAACAAAGCAAGAACCAATGGCCCAGCAAATATGCAGGAGAAAGTGGAGATGGATTGGACACTCGCTGAGGAGGCCGCTGGGTCACATCGCGCGTCAAGCCCTCGAGTGGAACCCGAAAGGGAAGCGGCGAGTGGGACGTTCAAGGGTGACATGGAGGAGATCGTGTGAAGAGGAGTTGAAACAGTATGGACTAACATGGATGCATGTGAAAAGTACAGCAGAAGACAGAAGCAAGTGGAGGCGTGCAGTTGAAGCCCTATGTTCCACTAGGAACCCGAGGGAACAATAATAACAATAGTAATAATAATAATATTCTTTTTGCCTCACTCATATTTCTGTTTATGATCTTTCTCTCTTTTGAATCTCTCTTTACTCTCTTCTCCCGCGTCGTATGCTACATACAAGGAGTCTGGCAACTGGAACTGCTGCACACCCGCACAAAGTTCTTAGTTGAAACTAGTCAGTCAGGCAAAAAGATCTGGATCAATTTCAATGAAGATTTCGTATTCTAGTAGGTCAAATAATCTATGATAGGTACAAAACTTGAAGTCTATTGTTTTCTGTAGACATGTATAGTTTTGGGATCTATGTGTGATTAATTTCTAAAGCACTTCTTTTATTCCCTTTAGTAATCTGGATTTCATATGTGAAATAGTAAATGAGAGACAGTCATTAATATTGAATTTTTTAACCAAACATTCATTGTCGCTTTGCAATAAATGATGCTGGACTTCTATCCAAATTAAATATATTTAGAGTAATGTCAACTCATGATGAAAATCCTGTAACTAATCAAATCCCTACAAACCAACACTTGAATATCAATGAGAAGCTCCCTAGCGACTGGCCCTATTCAGGTAAACAGTTACCTGGGGTTCTAGTGAGAAGTCGTGACCAGTAGGGTACAGCAGGTCGGGTGTGAGGACAAATACTCGCCGAAGACATTGGCTAGGGGTCGCGCTATGTCATGAATCGGCAGAAGTTAGAATTCATGGACTAGCCATTGGATCGGGTCCCAGTGGCTTAATGGTTTATGAGCTCGCCTTGGACCCAGAAGGTCCTGGGTTAGAACCCCGCAGTGTGGGTGCGTATTATTAAGAGTCTCAAACTAGGACGAAACAGCTGTCCAGTAATCCCAGCTGGTTTTCTAATGGTTCTCTAACTAATGTCAGCTCATGATGAAAATCCTGTACCCAATCAAATCCCTACAAACCAACACTTGAATATTTAGACTTTTTATGTGACTTCATAACCATTTGAGAACATGTTCTTTCCAACGACATGGGAAGATTCTGTTGGTTCTAACATTGTATATAAATACGTCCCCGCAACGGTAGGTGAACTGCAGGTAGACACAGTGGTGAAGTAGAGTTCATAGAATTACGTTCTTTATTCATAACACACACGAATTAGAAAGACTCTAAATGTAAAGAATGGAGATGCAGTGTAGAATGTACCCCCAACAGCTGATCACTGACTGCATTTAAGATATTAATCGCATGATCTGATCACTCTTGAATGGTAGGTAGTTTATTAAAGATAGCGGAAGTTTTCCTTTTTATTGTGACATACACTGAAGTTTCCAGGATATCCATCAGCCGACCGTACTTCATTCATTAATATACTACTCTACTCATGCACATTTTGCGGGCTCTTGAAAACTTTCATAAGTAAAACAATGAACAAATTGTTCTACTGGATTTTCAATAACGTAAACATACACTCAGCCAGCATAAAGAACAAGATTCGGATTTCCAACACAAATGTTAAACCAGTCAGTAACTGCTTCTATATAGGTCGGAAACGTGGCACGCGCGCACGACGCATCACGGAAGAGCGGAAGACATGAAAAGGTTGACTGTTTTTGACCACAGATGTTTACGATCTCTTTCTCACGTTAGGTGGTATAATAAGGCAAGTAATGTTGACGTTAGGCGTAGAGTGTTGAGAGCAAAGAGGGAAAATCAATCGAAGAGGCTATAAAGTTACATAGATTGAGATGGCTAGGTCACGTGCTGCGCATGCCTAACCATCGCCTCCCCCACCCAGACGGGCATTACTAGCTGATATAGGTGCAGGTTGGAAAAGAGTAAGTGGTGGCCAAACAAAAACATGGCCTCATCAATCCATCAAATCCCTGATAGTTAAACTGAGTCAGGTAGGGAGATACAGACTTCCGGGTTGGGACCCTCCCTCGGGACTCTAAGAATCAATCGATGGCTGGAGACAATAGGTGACATGGCTCAAAATCGTTGTCAATGGCTTACGCAGATGTATTCAGTCTCTGTAATCTTTCATATTCCTTTCTACCATTACTCATTCTGTTTCACTCTTATACTTGTCAAAACTCTATTGATTCTCTTCACTCATTTTCTTGTCTACCTTTGTGTGCTCTTTGGAACGTGGCAACTCGAACTGGTGCACTTCAGTGCCATGTTCTATGTTGAATCCAGCCAGCCAGCCAGCCAACGACGCATCACGAAAAGCATTTGTAACAGGTTGCATACTTTTATTGACAGCTGTCTCCTTCGCTGGCTGGCTCCATACTGAAGTTTAAATGGTCAGAAAGTGTTATCAACAGGGAACTCTGGGAACGAACCAACAGTCGAGAGTTCATGACCCAACGGTAGAGTGCTCACTAGCCACTAAAGGAGGTTTAGGTTAGATTCCCGGTCGGTAGATTCCTAAAATTCACTCAGTTTTCACTAACCGACAGATAGTTAGTCCGGAAAAGAGAGAGGTTGACGTGACGTAAGAAACTCCACCCCGTGAAGACAACACTATCGCTACCAAAAACTTCAAAAGAAGCTTGAAGCCTTATGTTCAAATTCCAACATAAACAGAAACCTTTCAAGAAGCCCAATTAAACCAAAATCAAGCTGATCAATCTTGGTCAGATATAAATCAATAGGGAATCAACCAACCATACACATAAATCAATCTCAAATCATTCCTATAGCACAAAAAGTAGTTCTTGTGACTTATTAGCCTAGTGAGTAACGCTTTAGAATTTGAAGAGACAGATAGGTACAGCTTTAAAGTCTCGGACGGAAGCAAATGCATCCAGTGACGAGTCGTAAATACGACAAAACGCTCATCCTAAATTCTATTGTTAACCGCAATCAAATAAGCAACTTCGAATTCAATTTTTACTTTTGCTGTTTTGTTTTTCCAAATTACATATATTTCTCTACAATCTCTATAACAACATTATAATATATGCCTTATTTTACTTACCTTGAAGTAATAGAAGTAGATTGCATACAGGACGTCTGTAACCATGACAACTGATTGATATCGAAGAAGATTTTGGTAATTCAATTTCATGCTGAGAAGTATTCATTTCTATAAAGTAAACACACACACACATACACACAAAATGAAGCAAGAACAATTGTCATGAATTGGCAGAAGTTAGAATTCATGGACTGGCCATTGGATCGGGTCCCAGTGGCTGCTTAATGGTCTACGAGCTAGCTCGCCTTAAAACCAGAAGGTCCTGGGTTCGAACCCCATGGTTTGGGTGCGTACTGGTGAAGAGTCCCAAGCTAGGATGCAGGAATCAGCTGTCCAGTACTCCAGTGCTGGTTTTCCAATAGTTCTTTAGCTGATGTCATCTTATGATGAAATCCTCCAACCAATCAAACAAACAAAATCCTTACAAAACCAATACTTGAACATTTGATATTATTGAAAAAATGAATCATGCCTAAATTTGTTTAAATAAAGGTGACTAAAAACATGGTCAACTGCTGCTTTACTAGTCAGTCGTGAGCATGGAAAAGAAGGTTGGGTTTGGTGTGAGGCAACCAGTCCTACATCATCCTGAAGAAGACTATACTCCAAGGTTACTGGAAACTTCAAATCCCAGAATAATATAAACTTATTCTCTGATGAAATAGGATCGACTTGCTAACTTGAGGATGAATGACGCTGGCTGGTCAAAGCTTTTACGAAGCAATTCGATCAATGTGTCTTTCCTTGTGATAAAAGCAAAAGTAAGCGTGATGACATGGAGTGTTCGGACCATGTTTTGAGGCTGGTGTAAAGCTGCTGAGATTGTAACAGAAATGAAAAGAGATGTATGGTATAGACGTGTTAGGAAGTGAACTCTCTCTGAACTGATAACTGATAAGTCAATAATCTACTCCAGTCAGACGGACGATAATTATGCAAGCTCTGAGGGAGTGACTATTATGATGTCACCAACATCACTGAAGGCTCTAATGCAGTGGGGACTATTAAAGAAGATTTAACTCAAAAGGAAAGAAAGTGTTACAACTATCCAGTGCCACGCTGCTACAAACAATGCATTCCCAGTGGAGGGGAAGGAAGAATTTTGCAGACAACTGCAAAGAGTAATAAACAAGACCCCTGTCAGATGGTAACATCAAAATTTTAATGCTGAACTGGGATCAGACAACACAGAAAGAGAACTCATCATGGATCGAGAGAGCAGAGGACTTTTCGTAAATTTTAGCGCGTCTAAAGATTCAGTGATCGGTGGTAGCGTGTACAAGCACAAGGATATATATAAACAAGGAAATGTGGGTTTCACAGATGAACAAACCAAAAATCAGATAAAATTCATCTCAATCTCAAGTTTGTGGGGAGGTCTACTGGACACAAGCTCAAGGAGAGGAGCAGACGTACGCTCAGACGGCCATTTGGGGTAAGGAACCCTCAAGGTTAAATGAAAGCCTTCAAAGAAGCTAGAGATAGACCACAATTAGAATTCAACACTCAGAAACTAAGAGAAGAAGTTTCAAGAGACACTGTCACTGTAGTAATCAGGAAAACTTCGGGGGCATTAAGCAACAAACATCGCTGAAGAAACCTGTGTGGAAGAACACTAGGGCTCTCTGAAAGCGACATTGACGGAAATCTATATATAGACATCTTAGGAAACAACAGGTAAGACTGGGAACGGCTGTCTACGGCATCTGGAAGTTGGTAGCAGAGAGACCTATGGAGAAGCAGAAGACGAACGAAAGGATCTAAGTATAACTTACAAAGTGCTGAACAAAAGAGTGAAGTATAGTGCAATTGAAGCAGAACAGGCTGAAGGTAAGAGACCACACAACTCTACATAAAAAACTGGGTCGTTATCCAACCAGGAAGAGACCAACACAGAGATGCAGAAGGGAACCCGAATACCAAAGAGGTGGAACACAGCACAGCACGCCAGGCTGATTACTTCAACGGACTGTCAAGTCGACACCATCATCAACAACTCGTCCAGTAGTATCACTACCAGAGACACAACTACGAGTGAACACCAGCCTTACGACAAAAAGGGATGCCTTTGAGTCACAGAGTTACTAAAAGCCAGGAAAGCAGAAGGACTAGACATGGAACAGTCTGGACTAAAGAAAGACTCCTCATACGAAGATTAAGTTGCTATACTGAGCATCATCAAATTACGGAATATACACATTGGGTCATAGGAGTTAATAAAAAGACAATTGCAGCGAAGAAAATTTTCTTTTCGACGAAGTCATCATCTAGGCTGTACATTCGTGTATTTATATCAAATGGATAGGAAAGTTCCAGAATAATTTCTGGTTAGGGGTCAAATTAATAAAAATCACAATTAGGAATTAAAATGACATAACAAACAGGGGGGATGGGTAAAACTCGAACAAAGTAGCATTATAATAACTAAGAAGATTGACATTGTGCAATTGGGGGTTAGAGATGTAGAAATAACAAAATATACAGGATGTTTGGATAAAAAACTAATATGATGAATAAATGTTTATGCAATCAGGGACTAAATATGTAGAAATAGTAAAATGACAAAATAAACAGGAAGAGTGGGTATGAAAATATGGTAGTGTAAACAGGGTTTAAGAAAACTTAAAATAACATGAATAAACAGGAAGTTTAGATAAGAAAGGTGATGAGATTGTCATTACTAAAAAATTTTACCTGCTTATGATGGCCATGGTAGGGAGAGGGGTTGGACGTAATTCTTTTGGATACAAAGTGTGGGTTTGAGCTTTTGGATAGCTAGCGCCTCAGCTATACCCAGATGTCTTGATTTGATTCCCTTTGATAAGTTTGATTGAATTTTGTATATTACTTTGAAGGATTTTTCGAAAGGCGCTGAATGTCCTGAGTTGACCAGATGTTCTGTCACTGAACTGTATACACGTTTTCGGTCTCCTTTTACTAGCCAGGCTGGGTAGTGTTCGCGAATTCATCATTAAACAGAGCCTGGAAAGTCAATCAACTCTTAACTTGAACTTCAACGGAACCAAAAAGACTTTTGAAGTCGTAGATCATGAAATTTGGAAACCGCCCCAACACTACTAACGGGATGCACTGTCACGAACATTTATAAACCTCACTCAACAGTTATATGATGATGATGACGCTTCATGACCAGTAATTCACAACAGAATGCTCACTGAAGCGGTTAAAGTGAAGATGGAAGAAGGTTGAGACTGTCTATTATCAGCGAAGTCCATCCCAGTTGTGGTGGACTGAATTATACGGTAACTCGTAAGGAGTGAGTACACCAGCATACATTGGGTTCACAAAAAGACCCTAGAAGATCTGGAATTCGCAGGTGATTTCTGTCTTATGTTGGATAAAGTTAAGGATAGACATGAGCAAATCGACAAGTTGGCAGAAGAGGCAGAGATGACGGGACTCTAGGTGAACATGCATTTGTAGAAATCTCATCCAGGCACTTGAGCTGAACCCGAACAGGAAGTGAGTAACAAATTCGACGTCGGAGGATGGAACCGAAGCATATAGGCAGTCGTGGAAACAGGTGAAGGTGACAGCAGACAAAAGGGTGGAACAGAGATGTGCCACCGAAGCCCTACGTGTCACTTGAGACACAATGGTCGAATAATAATAATAATAATCTTTACAACTAACCTGTGTAATCCAGGCGTAAACGAGCAATAAGCCCAGATCGAGTAGCAAACCATATCTCACGATCAACAGTCATTGGAACAATCAATAAACGACATATCGTTAAGTCTATTGGATCTGTAACACCTTCCATATCTAAAAGAAAGAATAGAACAAAACAAAAATTCAAACAGTTCAATGTTTCAATTTATTCCGGCGGGAGTTTGAAACTCTCTAAAAACTCCATTCTTTTTTACTCTAAAGCTTATTGACGCGCTTACACGTTATATGCATAGATAACTCACAAGCAATCGCTCATCATACTTAGCATCCAAAGGAATACTTCAGTTTATTGAAGTGATTAGAACTCACTCTGTGCAGTAGTGATATATGGTTTCCTGTGTTTAAATTTATAAAGATTTACATGGTTGCTCATTTCATACTGTTTATAGGAAAAATTTTAAAAAAATAACTAATGATCTGGAATCTTTGAAATCAACATATGTACACATTGTAGGAGTCATGAACACGTGTTGCTCCTAGATTCGCCGATCAATCACACCTATGTAAAGAGGTTATGGAGCGGTGGGACGGAGTGAGAACTTAAGTCTCATTGAATAAACACTGGGATATTTATAATCTACAAAAGGAGAAATTAGACGGACCAATATGAAGTGAATTCTTGAGCACATAATTTTGTCTGAGTCAATACAGAAATCACTCAAAGTAATGTGTAAGGTAAGGCCAGGTCATTTCCAAGGGTTATCCACAACGGAGGGTCATGCTATGAACAAAGAAAACCCTGAACTTTGTGTGAGGAAGAGAGAGGCGGTTTGTTTAATCCCCTTCATTATCATAATGTTAAACCTTTGTCCTTTTCCCACCTGTACAAAAATTTGGTATGTAATCATTTCTCCATTCAGTTTCGCTTCTTCAAATGATTAAAAATGCCAATTAAACGTTTTTCAAAAGACTAGTTACTCAACAAAGAATTTTTTTTCGATAACGCCTTCTTCACCAAGTTGCACAGTTACGTATACATCTGTAATAGTGAATGAATTAGTGCTGTTAACAACATTAGTGTTAATATATGTGTAAAACTTGGGCACTGTGGTGGTAAGTAATTCCATATTAGTTTGTTTATTAGATATATCACTCACAGTGAGTGAAACAGTATTATTTACTGGATGACACCGTTTCGAACACAATCCATTATTGTTCATAATCATATCATCAATTATAATCACACGACTTCGATACTTGAGTTTTATAGTTTTCTTTGTTCTCTCCTATTTGTCGTCGTAGGGGTAATAGAATTTTCCAGATATCTGAGTCGACGGGTGTTGAATCATTCCTATTACATGTACTTGCAGTTGATTCGATAAACAAGGCTTCCGTTATCAACCTCTCCCTCCACCCTGTGACATTAGATTTTAGAACTGTCATCTTTTCCCATCCATCCTATTGTATGGTTGTGTGTAACTGCATATAGTGAGCGGTATAGCTGAACTATTCTCTAGATTTCTTATCTTATTTGGGTGATAATTACACAGAAAGAATGAACTTCGGAAACATTAAGGAGAATTCTTAACAAGGCAGGATTAAAAGTGGCATTCAAACCCACAAACTCAATTAGAAACAAGCTTTGTCAGTTAAAGGCTGGATCCTGCGGAGCCTTTAAAACAAAACCATTTAGTTTATCTGATACCCTGCTAGAATGATTGTCAGGTCAAATACATAGATCAAAGTAGTAGAACAGGTGCAGTCAGACTAGCCGAGCATAAAAACCTAGCAAAATATAGATTAGTTAACCCGAATAACATAAAAAATCTAGAAAATAGCTCAGCTATACCACCCACTACATGCAGTTGCACACAACCATACAATAGGATGGATGGGATAAGATGACAGTTTTAAAATCTAATGTCACAGGGTGGAGGGAGAGATTGATAACAAGAGCTTTGTTTATCGAATCAACTGCAAACCAACACGTGAAATAGGAATGATTCAACACCTGTCCACTCAGATATCTGGAAAATTCAACTACCCCTACGACGACAAATAGGAGAGAACAAATAAAACTATAAAACTCAAGTTTCCAAGTCTTGTGATTATAATTGATATGATTATGAACAATAAATTTTGTTCGAAACGTCATCCAGTAAATAATACTGTTTCACTCACTGTGAGTGATATATCTAATAAACAAACTAATATGGAACATTATTGTTGTTGAAATAACATCGAATCAATAATAATAGTTATAATATCAATGGATTACATTTCGATAGCATCAACATAACAATACACAACACTGAATATCAGACAGGCAAATTAGGAATAATAACAATAATACAATTTCATGAATTTAAAGTCTCCACTGAAGGCCAGCCAAGATATTAGTAGTGGTTGGAATTGCTTCTTTTGCATACAGAGCATCAGCTGTTTCAGGCAAATCGTGATAGCGTCTGCTGTTTGAACTATGCGGTACCTGGATGCTTTTGGCGATTTATTTGCAACCCGGTGGATGATAGAGAAGGATTTTTCAAAGCTGGCTTTGTGACCAGTTTGAACCAGGTGGTCTAATATCGAACTGTTGGTAGTCTTTACTAAACTTTGATTTAACCAAACAGGTAAATGTTCCTGAGCATGGAGAATGAAGTTCCTAGAGCAACGGCCAATACAACTCGCTCCACGACAAGCTCAGTTGGATTGGTAGATACAATTAGAAGTGGCTAGCTAGTTTAGGTACTTCATCTGTCAACTGGGGAATCAGCATCGGTCGTGGAGAAAATAAGATTCGTAATTCGCCAATACTAAAAGTTCTTTGAACTGAATTTCTTAACTTCTTCGTAATTATTTCGCTAGGTATATCACTCCTGAATTGCAGTCATGTGATGTATAAAGGCTTCTTGTTTACGGATAGTGAATAGTCCTTTTCAACTTTCTTAGTTATATGTTTCCTGATGAATTTGTCTGGATAGCTATTTTCAATCAAGGTATCATATACAACGCTTAGTTCATCTTCAGTTACTTCTTCTGAACATATAGCTCTAATTGTGTGGCTGAGGGTCTTTACCGAATTTCTTTTGTACTGGAGAGGAACGAAGCTATGAAAATGTGTATATTGTCCTGTCCATGTGCTTTTCACATGCAAATTTCTCTCTTTATACTACCATCTGGTTTTCTTGTAAGAAGGAGGTGAGGTTACTAACCTCACACGTACCCTCTTCACGAGTCTTACTACCAGCTAAGTGAGGTCAAGGAATGCGCTGACCGGGAATCGAACTCCAGACCACGTGAGATATGGTGGGTGAGGTTATGCTATCACGGAACCATTGATGCATATAGGCATTCTACTAGCGATGGATAAGCGCTCAAGTTGTACTCCTGACCGACGAATTCCACCTAGTACATTAGCCGGTAGTAGTAAACCCAGAAAAGAGGGAAGGTTGGGCATAAGGCTGGCAACCAACCATACCCCGCCGCTTAGAAACAAAACAACACTACTCTGGTACTGTCACTTCAAAGCTGGATGAACCGCCCGCCCCTCCCCACCCCCTCGGAACATAAAGAATAAAAAATATGAGAAACAAAAAGTGAAACTATTGGAAATGTGGCTAATTAGAAGTGAGAACAAAGAAAATACAGGTCTTACCTATCATAGAAGACAAAGCAGCGGTTAAATCAATTTGACGTAGAATACATTTTTGTTTAGGACAACAGGCTAGAAGACGTGCCATTCCACCGCTGATATTATTCATTTTATTTTTATTACTAGTATTGTCAGTACTAGTACTACTACTAGCATTATTATTATTATTACTGTCATTATCATCACCACACACGTTGTCCGTTTTCACTGTACTTGTTGCACTTGTCTTCGATGGTGTACAAATTGTTGGATTACCTGATACGGCTAACCAAATCAATTCAGATGATTTACATGTGGAGGGTTTAATACAAATTGCATGGAGACATGGTGTTTCATTGGGTAAGGCTAAACTGTATACAAGAAAAAAAAGAGAAAAGAACACATAAATAAAAGTCATACACAGTTGTTATTATTAATATTATTTTCAAGTATTGATTTTGTAGGGATTTTCTTTGTTTGATTGGATTGGTTAGAGGATTTCATCATGAGCTGATATCAGTTAGAGAACCATTGGGAAACAACCACTGGGAGTACTGAACAGCCAGATGTTTCGTCAGCTTAGTTTGGGACTCCTCAACGGGTTAGCTCGTAGACCATTAAGCAGCCACCGGGACCCGATCCAATGGCCAGTCCACGAATTCTAACTTCTGCTAATTCATGACAAAGCGCGACCACTTCACAATGTCCTCTTTTTCGATGAGTTGCTGTCTCACCTTCAACCTGCTGTACCCTACTGATCACGACTTCCCACTATTATTATTTTTACTATTATTATTCCCTTGGGTTTCGCGAGTGGAATACAACAGTGTGGTGTGGGCTGCTGAAAAGATTTATAAGTAGTATACAGGCAGATGCATAAAATGTTTATCGTTTGCAAAATAAGTGTTTAAGAATACCAGTATCCTTATTAGATAAGCTTCTTTTAAATATCACACAGTGATAGAGATGCAGTATTAATAACCGCATGACAAGGTTTCGAGTATGAATGAATTATTGCTGCTCATAATCATATCAATTTTAGTCACACGGTTTAGCAATTTGTCTTACTTATGTGTATTTTCTCTCCATTCTGTCTCTCTCCAAATTCCCTTCGTTGCCGCTTGTTGCCACTTTTCATATCTGCGGTATAGGCGGTGTTGAGTCATTCCGATTGCATGTGTGAGGTGTTGAATGGATAAACAAAGACTCAGTTAGTGACTAACCTCTCTGTCTCTCCACCTAACTATATTACTTTATAATACTCTCACCCTGTTCAATCCTTTCTATTCGGTGATCACATTCGAGTGAATGCAGTGCAGTGGCTGAGCTCTGTTTTCTAGGCTATTTAACTTAGCAGGGTCAATCATTCTAGATCTAGCTGGCTAAATTTCTATGTTCCAATAATCTAGTTGACCCTGATCTAATAGTACCATCCCTATGCAATTGACCTCACTAACAGTCATTACATGGTATTTGGTAAATTATATCAAGCGCCAATAACCATCAACGGGAGGGATTTGAAAGAGGTTACTTCATTCACTTATCTAGGCAGCATTGTCTCAACTACAGGAGGAACGGACGAGGATGTCAAATCGAGAATCGGGAAGGCGAAAAACACATTCATCAACCTGAAACCAATCTGGAAATCTTCGTCACTCAGCATCAACAACAAAATTCGGATTTTCAATACAAACGTCAAGTCAGTCACTTCTTCTATACGGATCAGAAACTTGGTGGGTCACAAAGAATATTTCCAACAGCCTGTTGCAGACCTTTATCAACAGCTGCCTCCGTTCTATACTCAAGATCATATGGCCGGAAAGAATCACAAACAAGAAACTATGGGAACAAACAAAACAAGAACCAGTCGCCCAACAAATATGCAGGAGAAAGTGGAGATGAATTGGACACTCGCTGAGGAGGCCCCTGGGTGACATCGCGCGTCAGGCCCTGGAGTGGAAACCGAAAGGGAAGTGGCGAGTGGGACGTCCAAGGGTGACATGAAGGAGATCGTGTGAAGAGGAGTTGAAAGAGTATGGATTAACATGGACACAGGTAAAAAGTACAGCAGAAGACAGAAGCAAGTGGAGACGTGTAGTTGAAGCCCTATGTTCCATTAGGAACCCAAGGGAACAATAATATTATTATTATTTGTCTTAATTGGATCTGTTGGGTCCTTAAACTGGCAAAGTTTATCTCTGATTTAAGATCAGCCCATCGGAATGACGCAGCTTCTATGCCGGAGATGTTGAAAGTGACAACAAACAACGATGAGGTGTTGGAGGGACAGAATGGAGAGAAGATATGTAAATAAGACAAATTGTGAAACCGTGTGACTAAAGTTTATATGATTATGAGCAGCAATACGATATCGTTCAGAAATGAATAAAATGACAGAGAGAAATAGCACTACACTGAAGTAGTGGCTAGCCTCGAAGGGTGGTGGTAACTGGAAGACACAGCTTCCATCGATTCTACTAACACATAGTACTTCCTTCTGTCCAAGAAACATAAAGAAGTCACCGTTTCCGTAGGTATATGGTAGAAAACCACGAATATCAATACACAGCAAGACCTGACTCTTTCATCGAGAGTAGAGGAGGAGGATGTTTCAATCCGCCATTTTGTCAAAATATATTCTTATTAGTATGTCACACATCATAATATGGGTGCATTTTCAGGCTTTCTTAAGAATTTAGAAAATACAAGCTTCAATCATTTGGTGACCTTGAGTGAGAGGAAAAACTCATCGAGGCTGCAGGATAATCGTAGCGGTAGTATATACAGAGATATGAATTAGGAATCAAAGGATACTGGTACCTCATCCAGTGACTAGAAGATAACACGATCATCTTGTGACACGATGTTCATCAGGATGAAACATGGTAGTGTCAAAGGATTTTCGCCTTGAAGATTATATTCTAGTATAAATAAGACCCACAGTGCCTCTCGAATTTCAATGATTCTCTAAATGACTTCGAAATATTCAATGTGATGTCCATAACTGGCGAAACTCTACGACTTTAGCTTTCAGTCACGATGCACAGAATGGAAAGAAGTAGTCAGGAATGTAAAGCATAAACAGAAGATGGACGCCGCGAAATGTGAACAGACAGAAACGATGCAATGAATAATTTTTGAGGTCGGAGATCAACTAAAATACTGACGGTTGGATGAGGGCTGGATTCACGGAAACTGCTTCCAAAAAGTGGGACAGAAGGACTATACGCTGTCACGAGACACATAGTTCCACGTTTATTCCATCAGAAGAGGAGACAAGCAGAAACGTGTTAACACCAGCCAACTCCAGAGATGGATACAGTAGGATAAGGAAGCCGATAACAACACACAACAAGTTTTGGTAGCGGTTCCACTCAAAACGATTTGACAGGGGAACTGGTGTGTTATGGGCTACTGCCAAGTAGTATATAGTTACAAGTATAAATATTCATGCTATCTGCAAGAATATCGAATAGTGGAGGGATGGATTTAATGACCGATGCTTGTGGAACAACGTAGAAAACATGAAAGGAAGACAAAGAGGCACAGTACGGAAGACGCGAGCAAATTGTGATACTAATAAACGGTATTTTGCCCATATTTGTGTGTCGAGTTGCCATATACTCTTCTGTTCTGTCGTTACATTTGATCACAATTTGCAGATATCTTCGATATTGTGCTTCACTGCCTTCTTTTCGTGTTTTCCATGTTGATTCACAAGTATCGTTCATTAAAACCATCTTGCCGCTATTCGATATTCTTGCAGTTGATATAAATATTTGTATGTTTATCCATATACTACTTATACACTTTGTCAGTAGTAGCAGTCATATAACAACTGGTTATAGATTCAATACAAGACGTGACAATGCTGAAGGTTGTCTAGACAAAACCAAACAAAAAAAACCGTTTCAGCGACACTCTATCACATGTTCAATAGTGATGAGTACTATAAGCCTATTTAGTTATTTGTTACAGAGAACTAGCTGAGAATCTTTTGTCCAACAAATATGCGGATGGAAAAAGGAGGTTGATTGGACAGTAGTTGAGGAGACAAACCTTCACAGTCGACATCTCACGCAATCACCTCGAGTGGGAAGCGGGTAACGGGTTAGGCGACAGATGTTGACATGCATAAGACAATGTAAAAAAAGCCTTATACTCCTCCACTCAGAATTATTAGTATTACTCCCTTGGGCTTCGAGAGGAACACAGTGCAGTCCTCTTCAGTTGAGCCCACACGATTGCCCCCATAGGCGGCTCTCATCGCCCCATCGCCCGACTAATCGTTTCCCATTCGGGTTCCACTCAAGCACCGGCCTGGTGCGTGATGTCACCCACCAGCTTTCTCATCACATATCCGATCCGTCCTCACTTTACTTTGGCATATATGTAAGAAATAGGTTCTTGATTGGTTCAGTCATCTAAGCTTCCAGTATAGAGCCATCAAAGAGGGCAACTGTTGATAAAAGTGTCTGCAGCGCTCCATCCGGAACGCGTGGAACAAATAATACAATAAAAGTAAAATAAAACTAACTTACCTTGTAATAACATCACCAGATTTCACTGATAAACAATAACAATAACCACCACCAGCTGTGCCAAGCCATATATGATCGTTTGGTGCACCATCATCTTCTCCCACCACCACCCCGCCTTATTCCAGTCATCATTACAACTGCCTGATGTCATAATCAAAGGACCAGTAGATAATGATTCATACGGTAAACTGATTAGTTTATGAGTAGTTTTTAAGCTTGCAGGAGTTGAAGAATCTTTAGATACGATTTCAGTGAACAACGGCCACTGGAAGCATACAAATTGACTGGTACCAAGTGAATTGAACAGACCAATGCATACATAATTATCACATGAACTATATAGATAAAGGCATCAAAAAGAAAGAATGAAAGCAATAAGAACAGAGGATGAAAAACAAACTGAGATAATGATAATAATAATAATAATTATTATTACTATTCCCTTGGGTTCCAAGTGGAACATACAGCTTCAACAACACATCGACACTTTGTCCTATCTTCTGCCGTCCATGATTGCCCATAATCACCTATCTCCTCTTTGTACGATCTCCTTCATGTCACTCTCGCACCAACGACCCACTTGTCGCTTCTCAATAGGATTCCATTCAAGTGAGGCCTGCATGCGCACGACGTGATTCGACGGTCTCCTCAACATATGCCCAATCCATCTTCCTCCTCTCCTACATATTTGTTGAGCAATCGGTTCTTGTGTTGGTTTGTTCCAAGCCAGAGTTTCTTGTTACTTATTCTTTCTGGCCACCTGATCTCCAGTATGGAGCCAGCGAAGAGGGCAGCTGTTGATAAAAGTCTGCAAGAAACTGTTGGAAATGCTTTTCGTGACATGCTGGCCAAGTTTCTCACCCGTATAGAAGGACCAACTTGACATTGGTGTTGAAAGTCCGAATCTTGTTCTTGATGCTGAGTGCAGAAGATTTCCAAAGTGGTTTCAGGTTGATGAAGGCGTATCTTGCCTTTCCGATTCTGACTGGCTTTGACATCTTCATTCGTTCCGCCTGTAGTTGAAACGATGCTTTCTAGATAATTGAAGGAAGTGACCTCTATCGAATCTCTCCCGATGATGGTGATTGGTCCTGGTAGTTGTTGCTGTTGGCTGATTGGTTGGCTGGTTATCCTCATTACCTCCGTTTTCCCTATGTTCACCTGCAGTCATTGTTTTCACCACTTGCTTCTTCAGCCAGTTTGCTGCTTTTCGCTTGTATGTCTTTGAGTTTATGTGACACTAAACATAAATCATCCACGCGCGAAATTCAGATCTTCTAGAGTCTTCTCATCGGTGGTCCAGAGTATTCCTGACTCCTCGCTCCCAAAGCACAGTCTGACGCATAATCCAGTCCACCACAATTAAGAATATCATCGGTAATAATAGGCAGCCAACCTTGTCTTATTCCTGTATGCACTTCAAACGCCTCTCTGAGTTTTCGGTTGTGGATCGCCTGACACGTGGCATTTTCATATAGCCAGCTGTTGAATGATAAAAACTTGAGTACGCCGTAGTGTTGAAGTAGTTTCTAAATTACTTCTCGGTCAACGCTCAGCTGTCGAACGCCTTTTCGACTTCGACTATCAAGGTGATTCACTTTTGATTTTCCAGTCTATTGATTGGACCTAAATGTGTCCAGCCTCTGTCAACACGTCAACTATACCAATGCGGACACTTCACCGATATCTGAGGATCAACTTGAAGTAATTTTGGTGGATGGTGACTAGCAGTGGAATCCAGGGCGTGCAGCTGAATTAAAAAAATAATAGCTGACACTAGTTGCAAAATAGGTGGCTCTCCCAGCCCAAGTGGTGTAGGGAAACGATGAGTACTACGTTGGAGCCTCAGTGTGAACACCATCACTCCCTGCGGAATGCAGGTACACAAAGCTGAAGAGTCCTAGACAGGACGAAGTGGTGAGCAAGCTAGATTCCACTACTAGCCACCATCCACCAAATTATCACGATGATGCTTTGAAGTTCATTAGGTACAAAGAGCTATTTAATAAAGTTGAGACGGACACCTTGATAGCTTTTGACATTTCGACTCAGAAGTGTGCATTGGACTGACTAAGCTATGCGGCTGATGGACTTAGTCGACATTCAAGTTCATTTGGTTTATTGTTTCCTTTAATTCCTAGAGGAACATAGGGCTTCACAGCTGCACGTTTCCATTGCGTTCGGTTCTTTGTTAAAGTTTTCACCTGGCTCCAAGTCTGCCTACCCGCTTTCATCTCCTCTTCACATGACCTCCTCCATGTCACCCTTGAACGACCAACTCTCCGCTTCCCTTTCGGGTTCCACTCGAGCAATGGCTTGTCTAGTGATGTCACTTGATGGTTTTTTCAGAGTATGGATAATCCACCCCCATTTCTTCCTGCATATTTGTTGCACAATCGGTTCCTGCTGGGTTGGTTCGTTCACTGCCAGAGATCCCTGTTGCAAGTTCATTTGGTAGAGTGACAAATTAGCACGAAACTATGTATATACCACTTATTGATTGATATTGAGTAGTTGTATACCACTCACACTAAGCCAGTAGTACTGGCCAGCTAGCCAGATCAGATCGAGGTGATCTAAACGCATTACAGGACGGCCATTTCAGTCGTTTTGGGGACGGAGCCCACCATCAACCGTGTACCAGGTTCAACTCAGTTCACAGAGTCAATTCACTTCTCAAGTCAACCTTTTTCTAGCTAGTTTTACTTTTGGGGGAACTGGTGATATCATAAAAAATCAAATTCATAATTTAAATCTGATTAATTTCGCCTAGGTGAATTCTAATCAAAAACATCCCACCCTTCCTTATTTTCTATTTCCTTAGTACTTTTATGATATTTATTTAAACTCTGATTATTTGTCCACTTCACCTCTAGTACTAAGTAACTTTTGAGATTTGACCTAATTTATTTATATATTGAATTGTTTACATATACACACACATATTACTACCTTTGTTATTCTTATCGCCACCTGCATAAACCTTATTATCAATATTTTGTTATCATTATAATCATCGTTATTAACTACCTTCAAGACATTTACCACATTATTATTATTATTTGTTCCACAAAATCACCGTCATAGGTTAAAATTTTTATATAGAGAGTAAAGCCTGAAGATCTAATTGAAAACAGCAATATTGTTTGCTGATATGTCTTGTTCTAACTAACATGGATCACAATAATAAAATAACAATAATAATAATAATAATTCGCTTTATTCCAAAACAGTACTTGTGATACAGAATGGAATTCTCAGTATTTTTACTACAGTATTGCATCCAGTTAGTGCATTATCAATAAATAGAATTCAACATAGATTAAGGAAATCTCAGTTCATTATGACAACAACATATTGGCATGTCGGTAACAAAGCCAAAGTTGAACAGTGTTTGAAGGTGTTAGAAAAGTAGGTGCTGTCATATTTACTGGCGTAAGCGGGAGCAAGAAACAAAGCAGTACATAACGGAGAAAAGAAGAGAGAGAGAAAAAGAAAAGAAACAAAGAAAATGTTGTACCTATAAATGATATGAGTTGGAAAGACGAGGTCCATTTGTTCTACTGACTATTTAATGAATTATAGCTGTCACGCCTAATGCTTTCTTTATCGCACAGAACACGAGCTCAGTAGGGTATGGTTGAGTTTTTGTACTTGCTGGTGCGAGCATATAGTTTTGTATATAGGCTTCTGGTTTTGCCTGATGAGATATAAGGGGAGAGTTGTGAGTGAAGAGGGTGGTGTGAGTTAGATAAAATGGATTTGGCCGATTTTTCACATGAGTCCATGTGCCTGTCAACCAGAATATTAACAAGCTGGTTAAGTGGCACTTTGCTTACCCTGATGACAACCTTTAACATCCTGCGTAATATTTTATGGTCTTTCTTCAGTAGCCCGGGAAAAACTAAGGGGGAACAATAAAATAAAATGCATGACAATGCATGACTCAGTTATATAACAGATAGCGGTGAGTAACAGATAGTTTCTGTAAGTGGGACATTGGAGAAAATTGATTCGATGTCGAAAGATAGCACACGTTTGCCGGTAACATTCATATTATTATTGTATGCAGTCAATGAACTGGAAAGTGTCACAAAGCCAGTATGTGCATAGATATTTCCCTACAGGTTCCAGAATATCAGTCAACCATCTTGGAACAGAGTAGTGATAAGGGGAACCTGACATATCTAGAATTGGATGGAATGGGTGACCAACTTTGTGTACTTTTGGTAAACCATAAAGCCTTGGATATTATTGAACCTGTTGATCGGATTCAATTATAGAGATCGCAGCTAATTTTAACTGATCACAGTTTTCATTTTTTTTTCAAGACATCTGTATGCTGTTTCTCAATTAGTTCAGTTTTGTCTCTTTCGTTGGGAGGTTGGGAAAAATTTACTTTTGTCCGAGAGTGTATTCTTCATTTTCTTCATGTAGTAGTCTTTTCGATCCCAAAGAACTACACCAGCAGCACCCTCGTCAAGACGCGTTATTAGTACTTCTTTATTATCTCTCAACTGTTTTAATTCTTCTCGGTGCTACTTTGTTAGGCGGTTGCGGACTTTCGTTTTTGTACTGAGGTATTGGCGTCAGCAATCAATAATAGTTGCTTTGAATTGTTGCAATTCATCGTTGTCAGAAATTGTGATCAGATCATTTGTTTGACTGATTAGATTTTCGCAATTGTACATGAGTATGGGAGTTTGGTCAACGCAGAAGTTGACAACACAAAATTTCGGGCCTGAACGATAAGGCACTTCTAGCTGCAAGTCAGATATATTTACTGAAGAGAAGTTGAACAAAAATTTCGTAGGGTCGTCAGGAAATTTACTGTGAACAAATTATATTACCTCTACTTAATGTACTCCTACTTCCAAATTACGCAATCGCTGTCAAAAATTCAGCCACATTTTAGATTTTGTCGGGTTTCAGATTAATTTCAGTGTATAGGTTTCGTTACAAACCAACACGTCAGTGCTAGAGATTGCTGGAAAATTAAAAAGCATTGGACAGCTGTTTCGTCCTAGTCTGAGACTCATCAGTAGTGTGTTCACTGATGAAGAAACTGGGGATAGAAATCACGGATTTCAGCCTACGAGTCAGAATTCAATGATGCGTGATGGTATAGATGAACATCCACAGACTGACTGGCCAGATAAGCAACTTGAAGGTCCTAGGTTCGATCATTGATCGATATGATCATGGATCCATACTGCCGAAAAGTCTGAAACTAGGAGGAAATAGCTGTCCAGTACTATTTCTCTGGTTTTCAATGATTCTCTGGTTAATAGCAGTTTGTGAAGCAAACATCAACCTCAGTCTCTCTCTCTCTACTGACAACTGCATTAAAAAACAAAAGATAACAAATAGAAGAGGAGAAAATACGGTGCCATGAATAAAAATAAACTACTGGTCATCATACAACAACTTACATCATTCCATTAGCTACAAGGCCTTGACTGTTTGTATTAAATTTATATAAAATCTGTGGTAGACGAATACTACACTTAGTTGAGACTCGTTGATCCTCCTGAATGTCACCGGCATGAGTATGAACATCAGCAACACCACTAGACTGACTATTAGATTTGAATTCGTAGCACAGTTGAAAGACTAAGAATCTACCATCATTTGAAGCTAAAATTACACAACCACTTTTCGAATCTACAGAAAGCATAAGGGAAAAGAGAAAACGGAATAGAATTACTACTATCATTATATTGTGATTTAGAAAAGAAATTGATAAGAGAAATCAATTTGTGGTGAGAGCTGTCTGTCTGCTAGCCAAAAATTGGTAGACAGCAATTTACGTGTCAATGTTTACGTCCCAAATCTTGGTCATGAGAAAAAAAAAACAAGAAAAAAGACTAACTCAACAACCAATCACAGCAGACTTTGCGTGGGCGGATACGATTCACAGATATATGGTCTGACCTTCAAAAAAAACGACCACAAAGAGATGACAACCAATCAGAAGACGCTGTTTCTCTGTTAATAAAACGAATAATAATGTACATAAATATATATAAATATCTCTTGATTTCGTCAATAAACGATCTGTTGCCTGGCCCTTGTCTTCTGTCGTTACAAGTTATCTTATACCAGGAGGCGGCTATGGTTGCCAAGTACTCCCTGATTTATGTACACGACAGAAGTCATAGGATGCCCGATAACCACGCAAGTTGTCTAAGGTTCGGTTAGCAGCCAATGCCTCTTCCTAATCCTCACACAGTTTACCAGTTGATAGTAAGTCCGCACAAAAAGAGGAAGGTTAGCATAGCGTAAGGCTAGCAACTCAGCCTCCGCCGCCCCCCCCCGTTAAACCAACCCGACAGCTAATGAAACTTCCAGTCTAAAAACCGCCTATGTTACAATTGGAATGCAAAAGGAGTAAAAAGAAGGTGGACAGGGGCTCGAACCAGAGACGCATTGCCTGAAAGTTGAGACATTTTCTCACTAACTACCAACACGAACTGAACAGACTTCATTAGGAATGTGATTTCAACTCAAGATATTAGTTAGCTGGGTATCACATCAATACGGGAGCACAACCTCATTGAACCTTCATGACAGAATAGTGTTTCTGTGATACTCCATTCCTAGTATATGATACATATATGTTAAACACTTTGACAAATCAATTGTCTGAAGCTTTAACAATGTGCTTTTCTAGTAAGTATCATGGTATGCCAGTGGTTCGATGGTAGAATGCTGGTCGACCACTCTTGTGTCCCGTGGTTCAACTCACAATTAACTTTTAGAAAATAGGAAAGGTTTGGCTAGCAACACCACCTAAAAATAAACAAAATCAACACTACTGATACTTCAAAAGAAGCATGAAGGCCTCTGTTTTTACTCGGAACATGAAGAAATGAGAAAAACACAGTATCACAAGCACTAAGTCCTAATTTAATCAGAAAGCATTCACTAAATTACAGTGTCAAGTAACTCTCTTTTAATCAGTACATGAAAAGTTCAGTACTTATTAGGTATGATAAACAAATTCTTGATGTTAAAGTTAATAAGAATAGCTGTCTACCGAAAACCAGGGAGTACTAGACAGTTGTTTCGTCCTAGTTTGGAGCTCTTCGGCAATACGCATCAGACAGGCTCCGAAGTCACGATCTTCCAGTTACAAGGCGACCATTCATCCACTGGGACGCGGATCCAATAGCTCACGAATTATTACTCCTACCAATTCGTGCTATGTATACAGCGAAACCTCCACAACCAATGTTATAGCCGAGTAGCTGTTCTCTTACTTAACTTGATAGACCCCACTGGTTGCGACTTATCATTAGAACCCCAAATACTTTCCTGTATAACGCTTGTCGCTAATGGGTATCAGATAATCATCAAATGTTGGTTTGACATCAGTTAGAGAGCTTGTCTTGTAACTGGGATGTCCTGAGTATGAACCCCAGTGGGCGGGTACTGCTGAAAAGTCTCGAACTGGGACGGAACAGCTGTCCAGTACTCCTTGGTGGTTAATGGTTGTCTAATTGCTGTCAGCTAGTGATTAAACCAGTAACTAATCAAATCACTGACAACCAGTATGCCACTACTAATTATTTGAAGTGTAACTCACTCAACTACTGCTTATTTTTTCAGTAGTATAAAATAAGTTCTTTAAAAAGCGTTTAGGTGGAGCTTTATCAAAACTAATTTTCATTTATGTATATGTATGAAAACTTACCATTTTTTATTTTCTCATTAGCATCAGCATCATCAGAATAAGGATTCGAATCTGCCAACTCCCATGTGAATTCAATTTTTGCATCACTCGACGTTGGCGACATTTGTTGAGGCGACAAAGTTGCCGAATCTAGAAATAATTAAATACATAAATAAATGAATAAATAAATGTAGAACAAGCAAACAAATAAAAGGAAATCAACCTTTTTTTCTTGTGTTAATCCTTGACTAAACTAATAACAATAACAACCATAACGAACAAAAAGGTGAAAAGAATAGAAAGATGATCACTAGCAATTGGCCCTATTCAGGCAGTTACCTGGGGTTCTAGTGGGAAGCGCGTTAACAGTAGGGTATAGCAGGTTGAAGGTGAGGACAGTTACTCATCGGAGAAGACATTGAGCAGTGGTCACGCTATGTCGTGAATTGACAGAAGTTAGAATTCAAGGGTTGGTTTACGAGCTCGCTCGCCTTCTAACCAGAAGGTCCTGGGTTCGAACTTCACTGTGGTGTGGGTGCGTTCTGATGAAGAGTCTGAAACCAAGATGACGAAACAGCTGTCCAGTACTCCAGTGCTGGTTTTCCAATGGTTCTCCAACTGATGTCAGCTCATGATGAAATCCTCTAATCCAATCAAACAAAATTCCTTAGAAAACCAATACTTGAAAATAAAAAGATGTATGATATTTTTCATTGCTTTGCATTCCGAGGGAAAGAAACACATAGGGCTTCTTTAGTCTATGAAATTGAAAGTGACAATATTATCTGTTTATTCTTACAGACTGCAGATTCTTACCTAAACACTCAATCTACCTTACCTTTATTCTAGACATGCCAAAAGCTAGTTAAATAAGGCAATGTTTAGGAGTTCAATATAATGGAGGAAGATTTGTAGCCCAAGTAGTGGATGATTTTCATGTTGTTGTGTTCTCCTCTCAGCAGAATGGTGGTTTACTTGAGAAGCTTTCATTGCTCTCTACTAGGCGTAACATCTTCAGCGCATAATTTAATTTGATGAAGTGAGCTTTAAGATTTCTCCACGAGTTCACTATTAGTCATCTCTCCTGGTGGGTGACCTTCAATGTGATTGGTTGCTTTTGTCTATTTTCAAACCTTCTAGTCTACTTGTGGTGTTGGTTTGGATTGTTTCCTTGACCTGAAGTTTGACTTTTTGTGCATGAGATTTCCATCTTATGAATTCGTAGATTTTATCTATGTCCATGTGCCTGTCGATTGCCAGTTCACCGGAATGCAAGGTTTCCAAAGACTCTCTGGCGTTCTTGGTGTTTCCTTTGTTTAATAGCTGAACGTTGTCGCAGTCGAATTGATTTCCATAGTTGTCTGTTTGCAGGGATATCAGGGAGTGGAAATCATGTCGTTTGATGGCTAGTTTGTGATCATGCATGCGAGGATGAAGAGGACGTCCACTTTGGCCAATGTAGTGTTTTTCGCAGTGGTTGTAATTTTTATTGTAGATGACGTAGGCTTTATCCTCTATCGCTGTTGGGTCTTTCGGTTGGAACACATGTCCATCACAAACACGCAAGTAACTTCGTGTTATAAATCCTCAGTAATATGGAGGCATCCATCCACCATGAAGCTGGTCAGTCTCGATCACACATATCGAGGGGGGAGATCACAAAAATATGAATAAGCAATTTCAAATTATACACACAATTGCACAAGTGATGGGTCTTGTGGATGTGAATGGCTTAGGAGATAACGTACTGGTACTTAAAGCGATTGGGTATAGGATTCAAGTGTCAGCGGGATCCGCAGGTACAGTTACCTCATGAATCCCAGAAAAGGCAAGACGCCCATCTTGGACTCCATTGCGTAGCCACAACCAACCGATTACCGACATATTTTAACTAATATTATTAATATTATTAACATTAATATTGGCAACAGAAGAAGCCATCGACGAATATAAAGGTATAAATGAACTTCCTCTTACCTTTAGCATATTTCACATAAACAGCTGTTGTAGGCAAGAAACCATTATCTAAATCGAAACTATACACAGGTTGTGTAAATTTTGTTGGTTCAAAGATATGCACTTGACCTAAATAACCACGATTCAATGATGAGGGTGGAGATGAATCACTTAAATGTGAATCAGCTGGCCCACCACGACCAATTAACCATAAATGAAACTGTAAAATAACAAAACAAGAGAGAGGGGGGAAAAAAGATAGAAACCTCATGATACTGAATCAGTTAATTTCCAGTTCAATAAAGTAGATGATAGGCCAGTGGGTTGGGGGACTACAATACATCAAAGTGAATACCTCGGTATATTGAATAACAAACATACATACGTACATCAATTGTGACATTTTCTATATGTCTAGTGGTTTATCAGGTATTCATTTTCACTCCTTTGGGCTCTGAGTGGGATTTAGGACTAAAAGAAAGCTTTAGACTTTGAAATCTCAGTAGTGGTGACGTTGTTTATGTCTATGGGGGGGCGGGGTTGATAGCCTCACACGCCATACCAACCTTTCCCTATTCTTCTCCAGTCTTACCATCGACTAAGCAAGTTTTAGTAGTGGACATCGGTAGGGAGACAGTTTTATCCAAGTACCTGCAAACGACGGTGTTTTTTTTCTGAGCACCACAAAAAGGTGATGACAGTTGTGTTGAGTAGTTCGAAAACCATTCACTTCATATTCAAGGATAGCCTTCTTCATGAAACATCTCATTCATCAAAATACAGGAAAGTCAGTGCTTCAATGTTGACAAGATACATATGAATTCACCTGCTCTAGTGAAGACAAGTGAATAAGTCATACCAATAAGATATTGTGTAGGCGTGCACCAGACCATCTCCCAATAGGGTTATCAAGAAGGAGAAATTGGGTAAACGGATAAGCTAAATTCTTGAACACCTTGTCCTTACAGATCATTCTGTCTTGTATCAATATAGAAGGGATTCCGCGTACATTTTTAGCTAATGCTTCAAGCTAGGTACAGATGGCGTATCCGAAGTCCCTTTGTACGATATTGAGGGACTCTGTGGATCACTGTGAAGCATTCATGTGGGAGTCATCCACGGAGTCCCCCAATATCGTACAAAGCGACTTCGGATACGCTATCTGTAACTAGCTGAAGCATTAGCTATTCGAGATCTGAAACCGGACTTCTGCATTCAAAATCGATACATACATTCTCTCGCCCTACCATGGCCAGAGTAAAGTCCTTACTACAATTTTGCTTCCTTCTTTTATTATGTAAGTTCACTATTATTATTGTTATTGTTAATACTTTTATTATCATCATTATTTCCATCATCCACATCTTATTACCACTGTATTACTGTTTATTAATAACATACATGCTTTTTCATACAGACTTGATATAAAAACATTTTATCGCCTTTCCACTAGTTTCTGTCCATTCTTCACGAGCTTATTAGTCATTAGTCATTATCTCACACTTATTACGTCACACCAACTTCTGTCCCCCTTTCTAATTTCCAATTAGTCATCCCTTCTAGGTCACATTATGTAATACAATTTTTCAAGGACAAAGTTAGTTTACCAGTATCTGATTGGTCTAAAGATTTCTTTGTTTAATATAATTACGATTGTACAGCGCCTTATGAAAATGAATCGTCGAGAAGAAAATTTTCTCCTCTGTTTGTGCCTTTTTCTTATGACTCAATATGGGAATATTTCGTTCAACATTCCTTTTGTTTCCATGAATTTACAGTCTTAATGATAACCACTTCTGAGAGATATTCATCACTCAATGTTTTTGAATTGGATGAGAATACCTAAACAAAGCCTCATCATTTGTCCATCTCTTCTTTTCATTCAGGTATATACACCGCCATACATATTCCCTTCTTGATGTTGTGTGTTAATAATTCCACCAAAAACAATTAGTTCGTCCACAGGAATCGACAGAGGTCAGTTTGATAAGGAATGTCAGTGTTCATAGAATACCAAAGTATGCTGATGTTATCATTATTACATGATTGGAGTCAATCGGCAAGAAGCCTTGTCTAACACCTAGGTTTTAGGGCTTGTCGGCACTCACTAGTCAGCAAGGCGTATAGGCAACTTTGAAGGAATTGATGTCTATCCCACCACCCCACTCCCTGCCGATAAGATTCGAACCCGTATCAATTCAAAGTTGACACCTAGCTTGATGACTATATCGCCAAGTTAGTTGACTGACAGAAATCAGTTCGCACTAACACACACACACACATCAAGGACTAGAGAGGCATGACGCGACATTGGTTACTTACTCCTTAAGGGTAAGCAATCAATATGCTGATATTGCGCTCTTATCAACTTGGTATCACAAATCCCAATGTGTTTGTCCTATATGTTCCTAGTGGCTCTTATAGACAGACACCTTAAAAAAATACTAACTTGCTCAGTATATCAGATGTCAGCGTTTACTTTGTTATATTTTTTTTTTTTGATTTACAGCTTGATTCCACACGGTATTTTCAGTACAAGTATGGAATTTTCAGCATGGATATCAGTAGCCCAAATTCAGGCCGACCATAGATATCGGGTGTGCGCCGACAGGGGATCGAACCCCAGACCATGTGCATGGTCGGCGAGAGTACTAACCACTGTGCCACCGACGCACAGGAGAGATTCATAACAAAAGAGAAAGAAAAGGTTCCATGAATTGAGTTTTGTAGGTATTCCATTTATTTCAGCGTTGATAACAAACTGAATTCAACTGAGAAAACCCACTGGAGAACGAAGGAGTGGTAGACAGCTGTCTTACGTTCGATCCCCAGTGGCTGGGATCAATTGGTGCGTATCCTGAAGAGTCGCAAACAAGGACTAAACAACTCTATTCAGTACTACTACCTGGATTTTACTGACGCTCTCATAGAGATCACATCAGTACCTGATGAAACCTAGAAAACTTTTTTCCCCTATAGATGATAGAGAGTTAGAGGTACACAAACAAACCCCCCACATAGACACACAAACGAAGACATTTCAGTTTTTTTTAATACGATCTACCCCATGTCAGAGAGACTTTGTGCGTGTGTGTGTGGAGTGATTAAAGTTGTTTCCTGGGCTTCTCAAAAAAGACTATATCATATTACGAACGGTATTAAATGCTGTGAGTAGAGGCTTGTGGTTTGCCACTACGTGAGCTCGCCAATACTATAGTCGAGAGACACATAAATTCCTGTAAAAAATGGGCAAAGGCCACACTGTCAGACCCTCTGCACCCTCTTTATTCACAACCATTCCCTTGTATCTCATCAGGTAGGAGGAGAAGTCAATATAAAAAGTTATATGCTCGAACTACTAAGTACAAAAATTCTACAATACCGTATTTAGCCTGTATTTTATGTGATGAAGACTCTGTTGGACGCGAAACATATAAGTTACTATGTAATTAGCAAAGTGAATCGACCCTTTCATTGTTCATCTTTCTGTAATTTTATGGTGTCACCCTTTCTATCGTTTAATTATAACTTTGCTATTTTATTGTAATTGTTATTACTATTATTACTATAATTTTATACTTTATGCATATTTTTCTCCGTATTGCTTACAGTAATTTGCTAAATAGCTGCTATAACAACATTTTGTTATTATTATTATGTAATGTTTATTTTTTATTTTTTTTTCGTTTTTGAGTAAATTAGATGCAATGTTGTACTGAATGCTGAAAATTCCTTGCTGTATCATTGGTACTGTTTTGGAATAAAGCAAAAATTATTATTATTATTATTATTACAATAATGCATACTCCCCCCCTCCTCACAGAAAATTGAAGAGTTAGCAATGGTTTTTCATCGCTGCGAGGCGTCTCGATTCTCTTTTTTTGGTGATGGAACAAAACTTATTCCAATCAGTTTTACACCCGAAATCTGATATTCGTGAAGAAACAACCGACCAACTAGAATATATTATGTATAAATGCATATATCGCTTGACCAACAAAACGTAATCTCAATTCATCAAAAGAGATTTGCTAACCTTAGTCTTCGTATCACCATCCAAGGATACAATTGGTACAGTAAGAGCTGAACATATCTGGCAGGAAAGAGAATAAGAAAGAAAGAAAAGGAAAAACGATAATAAATAACAGTTTTCAATCTAAGAATATGAACAAAGCAAGAACTCCAGTTTTTGCAGAATAAAGTGATACCATCTTTTATTTAGTTGCCTTCTCGTCAGCTGCTTACAGGGCAAAGACATTATTAAATGTATCTACAAAACAATTTTAGCATACTTGCACAGAATTCATTTTAAACAAAAGTCAATCAACTAATACATGCATAGTAATATATATGCATATATATATGTAATATTAAACACTATTCCGAACAATAATGATCATACACAATGAAAACTTTTCAGCATTTCGCATTCAGATGAGAGATGAAAATATCCAGTTACCAGGGCAAAGAAAAACTGATAAACGCTTCTTTCTGGACGCATAAATCAAGTTTCAGGCGCTTGATGGAAATGGCTTCAGCAAACTTGAGGAGAATTGAGCTCTTTTGCCTATTGATAATTTTGAACGACTTTTCGATGTCCACCTCATGACCCGTGTCGAAGAGATGCCTGGCGATGGCACTGCCTAAAGCATTTGTTCCCTTTAGACGTAAGCTTTTCGGTACATGTTCAGAAAATCGTAGATATGCTGTTCTTTCTGTCCTTCCAATGTAAGTGTTCCCGCAGAAACATGTAAATTTGTATATACAGTTGGAGTTAACATGGGAAGGATATCTGTCAATTTTTGACTGCACCAAACAGCAAGTTGTTCGATAGACGGGAACGAGCTTAGCTGCAGGATAGGCTATGGCTAGTGACGTACTTAGCCTTCTGTTGATCATCGCTGCAATGTTTTCGCCTTTACAATCAAGCTGAATGTAGATTGACTTTTTTCTTACTGTGATTTGTTTAACATTTGTGACTTCAGATCTTCAATACTTGTTGATGAACCTTTGAGGGTACCCATTGCTCTTGAATATCCTTTCGATGAACTCAAATTCTTCCTCTAATTTCTCTGTAGAGTTTCTGTATATATATATATATATATCAGTATGGTTAAATAAAGATGTAGTAAAAACCATCAACAGTTCGATATCAGACCATCTGGTCCAAACCGACCGGCCACAAAGCCAGTATTAAAAAATCCTTCTCTATCATCTACCGTGTACCAAATAAACTGCCAAAAACATCGAGGTAACGCATACTCCGAACAACAGAGGCTATCGCGGTTCGCATGAAACAACCAGTGCTTTGTGTGCAAAAGAAGAAGCAAATCTAGCCACTTCTACTGCCCTGACCACCCTTCAGTAGAGACTATAAATTCATGAATTTGTATTATTATCTTTCCTAATTTTTCTGATGTTCAGCTTATTTTTATGTTGATGGCATTGAACTGTAATCTTCTGATATTATTGATTCGATGTTATTTAAACAACATTAATATTGTTAATAACATTAATTCATTCATTCACTATTATGTATACACACATAACTGTAGAACCTGATGATGATGAAGAGCAGGTTATCGAAAAGAATATTCTTTGTTCAGTAACCATTCTTGTGAGAAAAAAAACCCAACTTCAATGAACATTTTGAATCAGTTACAAAGAAGCAAATCAACTAACCTCTAAGTGTTTTCGATGTAAACCACCGATTGTTCTACACTGAACTGGAATTGGCACACTGAAATGTTGTACATCAGTATCATTCTCATTCTTCTTCTCATCACTGGACTTCTCATCAATGCTTTGTTCAGTGTTCGACTGAATCTGTGTAGACTTTCCAGAAGCCCAACCATATATTGGAGAATGTGTACCTTTAGCTGATAGAGTTATCCAAGATAAGGAGACGTCAGCACTGTTTCCCGCCCCCCAAACAACAGCAATAAAGAAACACAGGAAAGACGACTATCAATATCAGGAAATATATTTCAGTGTGATCAATAAACTCATAATACTTATATAATTGAGAACAACCTTATGCGTTACATGCAAGTCTTGGCGGTCTGCTTAAAAATTACGGCTATCAAATACAATCATCATTGCATATTGCAGAGTATAATTTCTTGTTCACTTTGTTTGAATCAAATAGAACCCCTAATGGCATTATTTAAATTCGGCGAGTATTTAAAAATTTCACAAAAATTCAGGATTATTCAAACCTGGATGGCCAAGGTAATGATAATGTCTGAACTAACTTCTTTTGGATGTATAAATAAGGCTTGTTAATATGGATTCCCACAGCCAGCCTCAGCAATGTTTAGTAGTCGAACTCTTAAGGCGAAATTGAGGTTCGTAGGTATGCGGTAAATGACGCTGAAAGCATGATTAACGTCAATCTTGTGTTCTGTATCCACAAGATGAGACAGAATAGCGCTGTGAATAGATTTTGTTTGTTCTTTGCTTAACCACGCAGGGTGATGTTCGGAAATTCGACGAGAAGCACACCTTATTGTACGGCCTATGTAACTGGCTCCACAGGAGCAGTTAAATTGGTAGATACACATGGAAGAGGCGAAATCAGGCAGTTTGTCTTTTACTCCCGAACGCAGAAGAGGAGTGGTTTTAAAGATACAGCGTAATTCAGCAGCAGGGAATGCTCTTTTGACCGCGTTTCTTAGGCGCTGTGTTAGTATCTCACTGGTGTTGTCTCCTAGGAACTGCACCTGTAAGAATAAGGCCTTTCCTGGAACTGTTGGTAACTTGGGCTGCTTTGGTTTCAGATTCAGATTCTTATCAATAAACTACTCAGGATAACCATTCTCAGCTAGCAACCGTTTAATATTGTTAAGCTCCTCGTCAAGACATTCATCCGAGCAAATCTCTCTTGCTCTGTGGACCAAGCACTTTATTACATTGCGTTTGTATTTCAAGGGCATAAAGCTGAGAAAATGTGTGTACTGGCCCGTTGATGTAGGTTTTCTATAAACACTTCTTATTGTGCCGTCCTCTTTTCTGGTCATAAGGACGTCTAAAAATGAAATACTAGAGTCTTTTTCTTTCTCAATAGTAAAATTTATTGCAGGATGTACCTCATTAAATTTATCCAGGATGTTCTTTGCTTCCCTCTCGTTCTTCATAATCAAAAAAGTATCATCGATGTATCGACAATAAAATTCGAGTTCATTAATAACCTCCTTCAAAGGCCCATGTTCTATTTTTAAAAAGTACACGACCTGCTAACTCGACAGTTTCTATTATACCTAAGAATAAGCATTATTGATATAAGTAAAAAAACTTGAGCACTGTGGTGGTAGAGTAGAACTCCATTAGGGATAAAATTTTATTTTAACAAAATCACACAGTGGTGTTATACAGTAATATTTACTGACCACCTTTTGGAGCACAATTTATTGATGCTCATAATCCTCATATCAAGGCACTACTCACACAACTTTCTCGCTTCATTTATATACATGAGTAAACCTGATAGATATTTAGACTTGAATTCATCTCATCCGAGTCTAACAAACCGAGCAGTAGCACTTAGCAGCACAAAAATGACCTAAATGATGAAATAAAACAAACAGAGGAAGAAGCGTTGGTGTCAAATAACTATCCTATAAAATTCATTAGGAAGATGAGAAAAGGTCAAAAGCAAAGTGGTGAAAGTAATAATTATAACATAAATAAGAGCGAATATAAGGCATCAGCATTAGTTTTACCATATAAGGAGGGGAAATCTGAAGCCCTACATAGGATTCTCAACAAAGCAGGAATAAGGGTGGCATTCAAACCTACAAACTCACTCAGGTTGGAAAACCTCTGTAGACTGACCGAGACACACAGAAGTGAAGAGAGGTGAGGTGTAGGCGAGGCAGACGATGAGACAGGCAGTGGTAGTAGTGTGGTGGGAGCTGTCTACTAGCCAAATTGGTAGACAGTAATTTACGTCAATGTTTACGTTCTCAAGATTTGTCGTGAGAAAATATGAACAAAGACTGATTCAAAACCGACCACAGCAGACTTTGCGTAAGCGGATACAGTTAACATATAGATGATGTGACATTCAATAAACAGTCACAAAGAGATGAAAGATTAACTTTAAGTGAGAAACAACCAATCAGAAGACTGTGTTTGTTTGCTTAACTAATCTATAATAATGTACATGAAAATATATAAATATGCTTTGATTTCCTTAATAAACGATCTGTTGCCTGGCCCTTGTCTTCTGTTGTTACAGTAGTATTAGTCGTAGTAGTAGCAGTAGTGTAACAACAGAAGACAAGGGCCAGGCAACAGATCGTTTATTAAGGAAAATCAACACATATTTATGATTTTCTATAGTTTGGTTTGTAAGGATTAGCTATGTTTTACGAGTTGATCACGGACTGATATCAGTTAGACAACCATTGAAAACCAGGGAGTACTGGACAGCTGCTGTTTCATCCTAGTTTTGGGAATCATCGGAAGTACACACCCACTGGGATTCGATCCCAGGACATTCCGGTTACAACGCAAGCCAGATCATATACCATTCAGCCACTGGGACCCAATTCAATGGCTCATGAATTCTAACTTCTACCAGTTCGTGATTTTAGCGCGATCCCAGTGGCTGAATCGTATACGATCTGGCTTGCCTTGTAACCGGAAGGTCCTGGGATCGAATCCCAGTGGGTGCGTACTTCCGATGATTCCTAAAACTAGGATGAAACAGCAGCTGTCCAGTACTCCCTGGTTTTCAATGGTTCTCTAACTGATATCAGTCCGTGATCAACTCGTAAAACATATTTATGAATTTTAATATAGATTATGGTAGATTATTGTTAGTAGAAAATGCAGTCTTTTGATTGGTTGATTCTCAAAGAAAGTTAACCTTGCATCACTGTGTGACTGTGTCAGATCATCTATATGCTAACTGTATCTGCTTACGCAAAGCCTTTATTCTCATTTTCTCACCACCAATATTGGGGACATAAACATTGACGTCAATTACTGTCTACCAACTTTGGCTAGCAGCCAGCTCTCACCACACTACTACTAACAATAATCTACAATAATATACATTAAAATTCATAAATTTGTGTTGATTTTCCTTAATAAACGATCTGTTGCCTGGCCCTTGTCTTCTGTTGTTACAATATAATTTACAAAATACCTTGAAATGACTGTGAGTTAGGTCAACTAGACAGTTCAGTCAAACCAGTACATCAAGGGTAGTCAGATTATCAGAACATTAGAATTTATCTAAGTGCAGAATGATTGATCCCACGAAGATAAGTAATTTAGAAAATAACTCAGAAATCGCACTGCAAGCATTAAAACACAACCACACAACAGAGTGGATGGGACAGAGTCAAAATTCTAAAAAGTAATAAAAGTAGGTAAGTGGAGAGATAGAGAGAGGTTGATAACTGAATCCTGGCTGGTTCATTGATTCTACACCCGATACATGCAACAGAAATGACTCAATGCAAATACCAGAGATATGGGAAGATATTATTACCACCACTCAAATCACAGGAGGATAATGAATAATCTTAAAGTTCCATTTCACTTCACATACATTATAACATTCTAACAAGTTATTTATTTATTTTACCATAAAAACAGCTTATTTCCCATCTGATTGTATTTTATTGATAACACTAATATCATTTCCGATTGTGCTCTATTTTATACTGATTTTATCCAAATGTCTAATCGTCAATTTTTACTCATGTATACAAATGAGGAAAGAAAGTTCTGTGAGTAGTGCCTTGATATGATTATGAACAGTAATAAATTGTGCTCGAAAGATGGTCATGAATTGATATTACTGTATAACACTAGTGTGTGATTTCATCAAAATAAAATCTTATCCATAATGCAGTTAAGAATAAGCATATTAGTAGGTGGCAGCATATTACACATCACATGAAATAACTGTTCCTGAGTCTCAAAACGCACTCTCCCAACTTTCGAAAAAAAAATTGTTTTTCAATCAAGATTGTGCACTCGTTCATCACTGTGTGGAATCTACTGCACTCAGAATAAGGAACACGATTCGAATTTTCAACACTCATATGATACAGTATGGTTCAGAGATTTGGTGCGTCGGGAATAGTATTTCCAATAGGCTACTGAAAACTTTTAACACTCATCTTCATTCAATACGGCAGAATAGATGGCCATGCAGGATAAGAGCAAGCAACAAGGAGCTCTGTGATAATGCACTAAAATAGAACCTACTGCCCAACAAATATGCAGAAGAAACTGAAGATGGATTGGACACGCGCTAAGAAGACTGTAAATTGGTCTCCTGGGCCAGGTCCTCAAGTGAAGCTCAAGTGGAAAACGAGTTGACGAAGGTTACGAGTGATATGGAGGACACTCTGTGAGGAAGAAATGAAAGCTTACGGTCACAATCGTGAACCAGAGTGAGAAAGATTGCGGAGAAGAGGGTGAAGGGGAGATGTACTGCAGAAGGCCTAAGTTCCACTCCGAATCCAAGGGAATAATAAAAAATTATAAAAAAGCAAAACATATACCAGTCCCGTTATTCAGTAATATAAGAGGAGGAGGTTAATTTCCTCCTATCCTTAGGAACCACTTCTGGGTAACTGCATAGATTGTCATCCACTGGTATACGTTAGAGAATCATGGAAAACCAAGAATATTAGACAAATATTTCGTACTTATAGGGGACTCTTCGTCAGAACGCGCTGATGACACCATCCAGAATCTAACTCGGGCAAGCCCATCGACATTTGAAGTTCCCCAAGTCGAGTGTGAAGGCAGACAGTGGCAGCAGATCACTGGTAGACGGACTCATCTGGTAACCTTAAGGTCCTGGACTCGGCCCTGAGTAGAAGCGGCCATGTTTGTGTACTCTTGAAGAGTCTCAAATCATTATGAAACTGCTAAAAACCACATCAATTCATGAACTATTTTTTTAATTTTTATTTTGTTTTGATTACAGCTTGATGCCACACGGTATTTTCAGTACAAGTATGGAATTTTCAGCATGGATATCGGTAGCCCAAATTTTGCAGGCCGACCATAGATATCGGGTGTGCGTCGGCAGGGGATCGAACGCCGGACCATGTGCATGGTCGGTGAGAGTCCTAACCACTGTGCCACCGACGCACAGGGACCAATCAAATCCCTACAAACCAACATTTGTATAAATTATGTCAAACACACACTCCATTACTCAATAATGGACAGCAACATATCATAGTGAATATGACTGAAAATCCTCTTTGAAGGACTTCGTCGATAAAAAAGAAAATCTTTTTCGCTGAACTGTCTTTTACATAGATAATTCTAATTAGACAAATAAGGATTATTATCTGGTCTCGGGTTTGATGAAGTTGTATCTTGCGTTTCCGATTGTTGTCTAAACCGTGCTTCCTGGCCATTTAAGTGAATCCAGGAAGTATCCTCTGTTAAAACTCTCCAATTGGTGGTGATTGGTGCTGGTTGTTGTTGCAGTTGGTTGATTAGTTACCTTCATCACCTCCGCCTTCTCTATGTTCTTAGAACCAATGGCTGTGGACTATTAGCTCAAAATCGTTCTGAATCGTGCAACTACATCAACTCTATATAATCCTCAAGATTGATTAGGTTTCCATGTCGTATATTTGTGCTCACTAAAGTTCCTTTGAGTTTGTTTTCTTCTACCTATGTGTGCTTTATACACAGAGTTTGGAAACTGCAACTGCAAACTTGTAAATTGAAACTTAACCGCCAGTCGTTCAATCAAATCTTCAGAAATCAAACTAACATTCACCAGTGACTAACTACCACAAGATGAAGTTTCCCATCGTGTTTTAGTGAGAGATCATGACCATTGAGGTCTACCATTTTGGGTGTAAGAACAAACACTCACCAATGACACTGGTTGACGGTGGTGCTATATATCCCAAATAAGCGCAGGAGTTAAAATTCATGGACCATTCACGGATTCCATCTCATCACCCTGTAACTAACTTAACGATCTTGAGTCCGACGCCTGTCTGAATGGATTCATGACAACGTACTGTAGACGAGTATCAGATGACGAGGAAAATGTTGTCTAGTATCCCACGAATTTCGGCTTGAAACTCAACATATATATATGCCTACTAACACCAAAGATTTTCCTGATTGCAGTAGATTGGATAATGCAACAAACAGTGGCGGGCAATGAGGAAACAGGTATAAAATGGACTCACACAAAAAACTTGGAGGATCTAGACTTCGCCGATGATATATGTCTGATTTCGTATAAACTGGAAGATATGCAAGCGAAAAGCAAAAAGTTGGCAGAAGAAGCATCAAAGATAGGACTTCAGGTGAACATAGAGAAGACAGGTGATGAAGATTTCCGGGCAACACCACCAACAGACAACAATCAGCATAAATGGAAGGAACCTGAAAGAAACAACCTGCTTTACCTACCAACCGACCTGGGAAGCATCGTTTCAAATACAGGCGGACGGAACTGATGAGGATATCAAAGCAAGAATCGGAAAAGCAAGACAAGCTTTCACTACTCTCAAGTCTGTGTGGAGGTCAACAGCACTCAGCATCAAACATAAGATCCGGATTTTCAACTCCAATGTGAAGTCAGTCAGTGCTACCATACGGATCAGAGACTTGCACTGCGCGTCATAAAGAGCATCTCAAACAAACTACAGACCTTCATTAACAGTTGTCTTCGCTCAATACTACTCAAGATCAGATGGTCAGAAAAGATCAGCAACAGGGATCTCTGGTAGTTAGCGAACCAACCCAGCAGGAACCGATTGTGAAACAAATAGGCAGGAAGAAATGGAGGTGGATTGGCCATACTCTGAGGAAACCATCAAGTGACATCACTAGAGAAACCATTGCTCGAGTGGAACCCGAAAGGGAAATGGCGAGTTGGTCGTCAGTGCGAGGGTGACTTGGAGGAGGTCATGTGAAGAGGAGATGAAGGCGTGTGGGCAGACTTGGAGCCAGGTGAAGACTCTAGCAGAGAACCGAACGCAATGGAGACGCACGGCTGAAGCCCTATGTTCCTCTAGGAATTAAAGGAAACAATTATATATATATATATATATATATATATATATATATATATATATATATACTACGGTTAAAATGACATGCAATACAAAAGAGAATGAACTTACCCTAGAATTGATGATCCACCTTCAGTGTTTTGCATAGATTCACTTACAACTTCAGAACGTTGACCAGAAGTAAATGCAGAGAAACTTTAGGAGTAAAAAATTAGTACAGTGTAGTTATGATAGACACACCACAATTGGTTAGAGAAGATAAATATATATTAACCGTTAGACTACTTATTAACTTCAAATAAGTAGTAAAATAAAATAGGTTAAAATATTTGCGTTAAGAAAATTACAAAAGTAAACAAAAGCACCAAGTAGACAACTTAGACATAGAATACGTAATAATATGGCACAACTGTCAGTCTAGTTCGAGCTTGTTTCTTACATGTTGTAATGAAATAATAATGTGAGAGGGAAATCAATATGATAGGTTATCATGGGTTAGACAGATAGAGAGATAGACAGACGGCTAGACAGACAGATTAAAACAATCAGTTATGCAGAGAAAAGCTCATAAGGCAGAAGAAAGTTGTTAGTTTAGTCAATAAACATCAATAGTTACCACCAAATCAATACAGTATATTACACGTTAGATTATGATATTACATTTATACATATTATGAATACATCGAATGGATTTAAAACGCCTTAATTGGTCCAGTTGGTGTGGGTGTACAATACTTACATACACCAAAACGGAGTGGTATTAATCAACGTTCAACAAAGGAAAACAAATCCCCTAGTCCACAAAATTGTAACCACGTTTTTCTATAACTATATTCAATTTCAGCATGCAGTCTAGATTTAATTTTTCTTCCATCTTCAAGTATTGGTTTTTTGTAGGGATGTCGTTTGATTGGTTGGAGGATTTCATAATGAGCGGGTATCAGTTAGAGAACCATTGGAAAACCAGCTGGGAGTACTGGAAAGCCAGCTGTTTCATCAGCCTAGTTTGCGAGTCTTCACCAGTACGCACCAAAAGGTCCTGGATTCGAACCCCATGGTGTGGGTGCGTACTTCTGAAGAGTCCCAAACTAGGCTGACGAAACAGCCGTCCAGTACTCCCAGGTTTTCTTTCATTTCTTTGAGTTTCTAGTGGCGGCTTCAAGCTTTGAAGTTTTGTTTGTTGCGGTGGTGATTTTTTATGAGGCGCGAAGTAGCATACACCGTTTGCCAAACCTTCCAGCTTTTCGAGACCTACCCACTCACTAGGCGTGGTTCAGGTCTGCTTCGGCAAGGAAACGAACACAGATCACGCACCTAGCTGGTGGTTGTTCTCTGAGTCACTAAGTTGTAGACAACTATTAGTGTGACTAACAACACACGAAAAGTGAATAGCGTTGGTGTAAAAACAAAGAAGAACATGCTTGAGAACTACTACTGACCGCTTAAATAGAAGTAAAAAGGAACCTGATCCAAACCAAATAAAAAAGAAAGAAAGACCGTCAGAAAATGTTTGCAAGTAATGAGGGATGTCTTCTGCAATTGACCCTTACACCCTCCTCCTACTCCTCAGATCAACCATAAATCGCCACTGGCAATAAGCCAAACACCTATTGTGTGAATTTTGGCTGGTAATATCATCTGGCTACTCAAATCTTGGTGTAGGGTTAGGAGGCGGTTTAAGCTCCTGACTCACTGTTCGGAAGTTAGTCAAGCACCAACTATCGACGTTATTCACATGATTACAATGAAACACATTTATACACTCATACAAAAGGGGATGATACCTATAAATTATCTTCTTAGGAACGACAAAGAACACTTCATTAAATTGTCTAATAAAAAATTATAAGCGAAATATAATTTTTTTACTTGGATTGAAAAGGGAAAGACGCCAAAACAGCCTCATTAAATGTGAATCATCACTATGATTATAGAAAAAACACAAACTCCAGTACATAATAAGAAGTCAAAGATGCGCCGCCACACATAGTCTCTCTTAGTTTGTACAACGACTGGGGTACTTACTGTCCGGACTCTCAGAGAGAAGCAAGTAGTTATCTTAAGGTGCCACTGACTTCCCCCCCCCCCACACCCGGAGAGCTTTTGACTTGAAGTCTGATCTACAAATCAGTGAAGCCACATCAAGAGCCACATTCCCATGATTGCCAGTGATTCAAAACAACTTCATACACCATTCGATCCTGTCTGAATCGAGAGTTTACCTGCCCTAGACGTTCACATTCTCCCTTTTACTTTAGTGTAATGAACATCACCCGCCACTCCATGAAGACAGTGATGAAGGCGCATGTGGCCATATGAGAGAGAGAACATTTCCCATCGCCTCGACCGCACCAAGTCATTTATGATTTAAGCTGGTGTATTTGTTCAGGTAGAGGAGAAGGAGAGCTCAACGCCTATATACACACGAACTCCCCCCCCCCCGGAGAGTGAGTGCGCGCGCATGTGTGGAAAGGAATGACCGACTCCTGACGCCCACGCACAGACACACACACACACCTTTTCAACAATAAAGAAAAACAAATAAAAAAACAACCTCATTCATCAAATATGTGGGGTGTTTTCTCTTCCACTTCGATGATTTATTTAGAAAGTAAACAAACAAAACCCAAAATAAAAATACATTTTTTTCTTCGTAAATATCAAAATCTAAAATTTATACATACAACACACAATGAATGATTAAAGAATTATACGTTTCCGCGTAAATTTCATTCAGATGTAGATATTATTGTTGTTATTGTTGTTGTAATTGTTGTTTGTGGGGGTAGAAGAGACAGTCCAGTTTTGTTGGTTTTCAAAACCCCCTTTTTTAAAAGTAAATACCGAACAATGAGAAGATAAGCACACATTGACGAGTAAAGTGAATTATTAAGTTCTGATGTGAGAAGAGAGCATAAATGAAAACACAGACGGTGACAGAGACGGGGGGAAATTATCACAGAACACAAAAGACTAAACATTTACACAATCACACACACGCACTAATTTTAAAAAAAAACAGTGGTTAATTTATTTATTAAAGCACGGTGGTGAACAACACGAAAGACACTTAATAAGCGCTAGTTTACCGCGCTTTTTCTCTTGATATCTAGAAGGGAATAATATTTCAAAAATAAATACAAATGAAGTAAACAAAAACAAAAAGAGAAAAGTAAAAACAAAAATAATTGCGCAAAAACGAAAGTGTACAAATGAGATCATAGAAACCGATTACTTTCAAACGCATATATGTATATATACAACACCACAACAGCACATATTTCTGTTTACGCATTATATTACTAAAAATAATTGGTTAATTAACCTCTTTGTCTATAAATATTTGTGTAGTAAGTAGTACTAGTAGTTTTATATATGAGATGAAAAAATGAAAAATGCCAATACCAATAATAATGAGCTACTATGTACATGATATTGAATTTTTTTTTACAAAAACTCGAGACGAAAAATAGACCCGAAAAATGAGTTACAAAAAACTACACTACTTATTACTGCATAATTCAGTAGTATGTAAGAAATGTTGTAAAAAACTCGAAAATCACTGTGCTGTATGTACATTAAACAAAACAAAAATTTAATAAATAAATAAATAAAACGCGGGGGATGAGAAAAATGCGATAGATATGCACGGTCAGCGCAAAATTGTTAGTCATATTCACTATACTACTCTCTACAGATGAATTAATTAATTAATTAAGTAATATATGTGTATAAATTTGTGCAAATAGCAATTAGCCGTGAGTAAACTATAAAAGTAATTAATAAGATAGGTGGGGGTAGGTAGTAGTGGTAAGCGTTATGTTAATAATTTATGTGGATATATATATATGTATTTTATAATGTAATAGACTTCGGATGAAAGAATTTTCTGTAACTGGAGAAATGTAGAAAAAATAAGTGGAAAAAGAAACAGAAAAAGAAGATGGGATGAGATGACTGAGAATCTCGCGATATTATATATATATACATATAAGTTAAACTGAATGGTCAAAGAGCTCGCCTACTTTATGACCTGAAGGTCACAGTTTCGACCACCGGTTAAGTGGAATCATAGGTGCGTGCAAGCAGAAGAGTCCTGATCCAGGACGAAACAGCTATCCAGTACTCCCTGGTTTTCAAATGATTCCCTCCACAACTGATATTGGTTTATGACGAAATCTAACAAATGAAATTACTTAAAGAAGTGTCCACAAATCTCACAATCTGAATACCAATCTTCAGCTCTCATTGATGGCTTCTACTGGAGAGATGTCCTGAAGATGAGGTGAGACAACGTCATACAGGCCAATGGGGTCGATTATGTGTCAAGGACTCAGTGGATGCTTTTCGAAGATATTGGTGGTCTTATAACCTGAAGGTCCTGGGTTCAATTGCTGACTGAAGGCGTAATGATGAAGAGGCATAAACTGAGACGAAACATCTATGCCAATGATTCTCTAGAGAATGTTGATTCAGGACCAAAATCTACATTCAGACTAAACTTAGTTCTTGTAAACAGCGACCTGATTTAGAATTTGAGCTACCAGAAATCATCATCACTATATTGTGCCTAATTTCTCGTTTTCACATTGTTAAGATATGCCCTGTAATGGTATTGTTCACTTTGAGAGAGTATTTAAAATGTTTACAGCCTGGTGACAACCCCTCCCCAGTGTGGGTGGCAACATATCCCAATGCATGAGATAATTGTTCCTGATATTTTTTAACGTACAAACTACCAATCTCTAGCAAAATAAAAACTAACTACAGTTATAAATCCATGAATAATAGAGTACATATAGCCAGTAAAGGCAAATGAAAATAATATCAGAAACTGTATTCGGGTGCATGTGTAAGTTTACGCACTCGTGAACATATTCCTGTTTGGTTTGGGAAAAGAGCAACCAAATTATTAAATAGTGCAATTCTGTCTCATCTAGTGGATAGCGAAGACTGCAGCAAAGTAGATGAGTCATATGCAATTGTGTATCGAGTACCGAACATTCTCCCCAAAGGAACACGATTACGCCTCCTAGCCATAGCTGAGGCTTTAGAGGTCAATAGAGAAAGACCAGACCTATGTGTACAGAAAAAACTTATTCACTCTCTCTTTGTCTACCCTGGCCCACTATAAGGTCACCATGATCATAATTTTCCGTATTATTATTACCTTTATTATCATTTTGTGATATCAT